ATAAAGCTTTTCTAACTTATTATTAGCACAGACAGTCGACCCCACCGCTGGAGATGCAGGCTTCTTAGGTACAGGTCAAGCTGGGCCACTTGCTGAGGACCTAGTGCCATCCTCAATCGCCCGGCAATCTCCAGGGCATCTCTGTGATTTGGATCAGTATTCAACAGTGCCAGCATATCTTGCATAGCCATTTCATACTTCCCTATAGCCTCAAATGCAAGAGCCCTCCTTAGAGGGGCACGGACAAGCAGTGGCTACACCTGAAGAGCCATAGTACACTCAGAAATCACAGTCTCATAGTCTATAGGCTTCATTTACATCAAACAAGCTGTCCTGTTGCTATGAAACATGTTATGTTATAAACTGCCTCATAATTCTTGGCCCTGTTGGTTATTGTGGCCTGCGTTGCTAAGTGTTGTCTGGCCCAGAATCGATCCTTATTGGGCTCTGCTATCTGGCCTTAACTTTGTGGCCAGATCCTCACCGTTGATTGGAATCTATTGGCCTTCTATTAAGTGTCTCTCGAAGCTTCATTTGTGAGACGGTTAGATAACTTTGGGAGATATTCTCTCTGTGTGATTAAGGTTATCTCTTTTCTCTCTGTCGTTTGAAAGTTTGAGTGATTTTCTGTGTAATTTCTTAGTGGTAAGGCAGTAACTACGCTTGATGTAGATTCTATGAGATTGTGNATGGATTAAGGTTGAGTTCTTAGTGATTGTAGAGTCTGTAATAGTTGAGGCTAGATTGATACGAAGAAACCTTCGGTTTCTTCGAACATTTGTACCTTTTCTTGGTTGATACTTAGTGGATCTAGAGCTATATCCTCAGTGGATGCTCAACGGGTGAGTAGGTCTTTGGCTGAACATCCGGACCCTTTTGGGTGAAAAAATCCTTTGTGTTGATTTTTATTTCTCGCACAATTGTTCAGTTTTTTGTGTTTTTTGTGAACTCTGGGACCAACATGAAATACAGAAGAAGAAGAGAAAAACTGGAAGCTATTCTTTGATAGATTATCAAATTGTACACATTACAATGCATCTACGGTGACATAAATAAAACAAAGAAAAGAATCTTTCCAACAAACTAACAAACTAAAAATTATACAACCAATACAAATGGAGTCACGTGTGTTAACTAACAAAACTAACTAAAACTAATTCAGTTTCAATTCTTCTAGCTCAGCTCCATCTTTCACAGCTTTCACACGGTTTCTTTCCTTTGTTTCTTGAGCCTTCAATTCCAAAGCTTCAATATGGAATTGTAGATTCCAACAGTCCTCATCAATTAAGTAAAAAGAAAATCAATTCAAGTTTCCAGAACAAGTAAAACAATAGAAAATCAATGTTATTTATCATTACGATGAAGGGATATCGGTAAGAGTAATGCTATTCATCCCTACTGGGGATGAAAACACAGTCTACGTGGCGTCAATGTGACATTAAATGATAGGTGAAATTAAATAAATCATTTAATTTCACATTTCATTTAACCTATCATTTAAAATCACATAGACTGTGTTTTCATCCCCACTGGGAATGAATAACATTACTCTATCGGTAATGTAACAACTCATTATTCCTCACATTTCTTTCTTTCTCATAAAAATTAGATTATTCAATCTCATTATTTCATATAGAGCATTATCACTGATCTTCTATCATCATAATAATAAATAGTATTATTCCAGAAAATCAATTTTATTTATCATCATGATAATGAAACATCGATAATGTGACAACTTATTATCCCCCATATTTCTCTCTCTTCTCCAAGCATTATTCTATCAAAATACCAAAATCATTTGTGCTGATAAGAAGAACAAGATCATTAAAAAGAGAGTGTTGAAAGTTGATTCTTTGATTGCAAGTTGTAAACTTCAATTGAGAGATTTATTGCATTTATTATTATTAATAATAATTTTAAAGTCTCTGGGATTTTCAAGAATATAAGTCACAAGAAACGGAAAAAAAAAAAAAAAAAAAAAAGGAAGAGCAAAGGTTTTTTATTTTGATTGTTGGGCTTGGGATGGCCGATTGGGTATTCTGTGACGGTTCGTTTGAATTTTATTTTGAACTTTTCCTTTTTTCTCAAAAAAGTAATTCACCCTTGAAAAAGGATAAAAAAAAAATTCAAAATATATATAGCAAAGAACGTTAATGTTTAAAACAAGTTAATTTCAATTGTGGTGATGGTTGATGAAAATGACTAGTAATCAATTTTGTGGAACACATTTGATAGTACTTCCAATGTAGGTTTCAAGAATTGATAGAAGATAAAGTATATGGATAATTGCAGCAACGATATCAAATCTTTCATTTAGAAGCAAACTTTGTCCAAACCTTTTGTTTGTGTCACACGGTACCAAACATTTCAAAATGTCGCAGTTGAAGTCCAAATGGACGATTTGTTAGTTTGACAGTTAGTTGATCAAATAGTTGATCTTGACAATAATTTTGACTAATTTTAAAAGGTTAAAATGATAATTTTATATTTTTTATAATAAAATAACTAAAATCAAATAATTAAAATTAAAAACCCACCCCACCCCAACCCAACCCAACCCAACCCAACCCAAATCTGTAAAACCCCAAATCTAGGAAATCTTCAAACCCCAAGGAATTTCACCGGCAAAATTTCAAAGTCAAATCTTTAAGTTCCTTCAAAATATTTCTCAGTCAAATTTTTACATTGTTTTAAATCTCCAAATACACAAATAAAATCAATGTCTGATTTAGTGGTTATGTCTTTAAACCACAAGTCTCCATACTTGACATCTCTCTCTCTCTACAACCACAAGGTTCGTACTAGACAGTGCCGTTTCGGGAGGCGATAACGATGTGTCAGCATCTTCGACTGTTGTTTTCTCACTAGGCAACGCTATTTTCTCATGGCTAGTAGTTTCTTGTTCATTATCTTCATGTATTTCTCCTCCTCCATTCTGATAGGCCATATGCGAATAATCCAAGTTGGGCATTAGGGTTTGTAGGTGATTTTGGAGTAAGAAACGCGTCAAGGATTCCATCTTGATTGGGATTTTAATTGAGAATTGTTGGTGAAATTGAAGGACTGAATTTCTTGCTTTTTGATTCTTAGTTAAATTCATCAATTTTGGTCTGAGTGGGTATGTGTCGGGTGGATGGAGAAGAAAATGTAGAGATTAGATTTTAATTTTAATTATTGGATTTTAGTTATTTTATTATAAAAAATATATAAAGTTACCAATTTAACTTTTTAAAATTAGTCAAAATTATTGTCAAGGTCAACTATTTGGTCAACTAGCGATCAAACAAATAGAAACCATCAATTTGAATTTCAACTGCGACATTTTGAAATGTTTGGTACCGTGAGTGACACGAATAAAATGTTTGAACAAAGTTTAATATTAAATGAAATATTCGATACGGTTACTGCAATTATCCCTTAAGGATATGTTAATCAATATATTTTAGAATAAATTTTGATAAAAGTAATCTTTTTTTTATCAACGTATGTGTTTAAATGTGGGGAAAAAATATTGATCCACTTACAAAATTATGTTCTTGGGAGAATAAGCGATTGAAAATGAGTTCTTAATGTTAAGTCTAGATTATAATTGACAATTTCTAAATTTGTAATTGGCATTTTTTTAGTCAAAATCAAATTCTAGTTTATCGAGTTGTAATCAAAGTCAAAATTGGAGTTATTAAATCCTAATTAAAGTCAAAATAGTTAGAGTTGGTAGTGCAGTCCTTAAAGGAGTCCAAAATGTCCAAAAAGATCACATATAATCAAGAGAATGCAATTAGAAGTCTAAATAGTGTCAAATAGTCGCACAAGTTATGTTCCAAATTCTTAACCGCAACTTGCAATGCATTTTTCACATAGAAAACATTGGAATTTGGATAAGGGTATTTCTAGAAAATTGTAGTCCTTTGAGTTAACTTTTCAATACATTTTGAATCACATCAATAGGATATCAGGAGATAAATTCATGATGAAATACTGACAACTGCTCAGGTGACGCTTACCTATCGCTGGACTAGCGCTCTAGCGACGTGGTTATTCGAGGAAAAGTAATATTCGATTTTCAAGTTGATTTTGAATGATATTCGACATTCAAACAATTTTTCTATATACGTATATGATCAACGTTGTGTAGTCTATCACCAACCCTAGCCCCATGTTGAAAGTCTGCGCATTATATGAATATCCGTACATGAATTTGAGAGACTATTGATACGCTTCTCGTAATGAGGCTCCAGATCATCTGCCAACATGGCAACCATATAAGCAAACCAAAGCCAGCGACCTACGTCACCCCCACATTCTGAGGCTCCAAAGTGCAAAGGCAAAGTGATCAACTTACACATATCCCATTCGACTGAAACTTCAAGGTGACTCAAGTTGAAGCGAAACGATGAAGTAACGTGAGGGGTAACGTTTGTTGCCAGAATAGTCGCAATGCCTCGTCCCAATCAACAAAGAAATTTTTTATACAAAGATTTAAAATAAAATCTTTATACGATTGGTTGGCGTGACATTTGTGAAGCAGATGCCAAAGAGTCAAGTCATGAATCTACTTGCCGGAAGCATTAAACACTCGCTCGCCTATGGGTTGATTGATTGATTTCTAGGAAGAGACACTTCGACCAACAGATAAGGCCACATATCTATTCATCTAACAGTCTATACTTCACCTCTTCCTCTATATATACTCATACTTTGTGCCATTAGAAAGGTAACGCAATTCAAACCATTTCTTATATATTTTCACTCCCCGTATCAATGTCAAATTTGTTTTCTAGCAGTTCCCAATATCGAAGTTTCGCTCACTTTTCATATTATAGGACTGATTTGACTGTAAGAGTGCTCGCAACCACTTCCTCCATCGGAATTGGCCATGAGTGATTAAATGTGTGTTCCAAGTGTGCAGGGAGGAACTTATATGGAGCTGCAAGCTGTTGGCCACATGGAAGGTTTATTTTTCGGGGTCAACAATCTTCATATTGTATTGTCATCATACTCACATGTGTAATATTTTGTCGACTCATCTCATTAACACTTATTTGCGTTCGAACTTATCAATGAATGCATACAACTCATGCAACGAACAAAGATGAGTAGGATAAATTAGACAAAAGTAATGTAAGTCTTCGTTTGTTTCTCATTTTTTATCTATAAAAATGAAAAATATGACCGTTATCTATTACATCAAGTCATTAATTTTGAATTTCTATATCTTATGTGGGGCACAATAAATGTTATATTTTTCATTCTTATTCTACAATAATGAGAATCAAACGAGTCCTAAATATTATAGAAAATTAATTTCTCCTAGCTCCATCAAGTTCCTTGAAAAAGAGTAATTAAGGATGGCCACACATACCTATAGTTATTCTCGAGATATGTTGAGTTTGTACACCTTCCATTAGCTGGTTTTACGAGCCCGAAAAGTGAAATGGGGACAAAAATTAGTGACATCTACATGTGTTTTTTTAATTATGTGTACTATGGGGATTGGTACTCTGTTTTCTAGCTGAATTTGGAGGTAATTGGACGGCAGCTAGGCCTAGGAGTCGACCTTGGAGTAGACAAAATGGAAACAACTACCCCACACAAATTCCGAAGGTGCGGTAATCATGCTGCTATCACCGCGCCTCTTCGCCCGGCGCGTACTGTGGCCATCTAAAGGCGGAGGAAGGAATTTTACTATGACTTTTCAAATTTTACATTTTAAATTCATTTTTGTTTAAACATATGCTCATGTTTGAGCCACATTATTTATTTTTATTTTCATTTTTTACTCATTTTTAACTACACATTCTTTAATAAAAGAATATTTTACATCACATCAATAATTTTTCTTTCTTTTTCAACCACATATTCTCCATCACATTAACCAAAAAAATACATTCTTGAAGCAAAAATGTGCACCAAACATGATAATAATAATAATAATAATAATAATAATAATAAATAAATAGATAAATAAATTATAAAGTATTTTTGTGAGAATGTGTTTAAAATTTACTTTTGAGTTAATTTTTTGTCATTAAGCCCTTGTTTGGTGTAGATAAAAATTAATTTTTTAGTAAATTCTAATAAGAATAGATGTGATTTGTTGAAAAGATATGAATTTTATAAAATATATAGTTAAAATTAATTATTTATTTTGAGTTAAGTTTTTATCAAGATTTTAATCAACACCAAACAGATGTTAAATATGTGAAGAAGCACTTGTTTTAATAGCAAACGAGAATTTTTAAAACGGTGTTGAAGTTGATGGAGCGTGAATTTTTAGTGTCAATAAATAAAAAGGAAATACGATACAAAGTCCATGCTTGTCTCTTATTTTTTCACGACTCATTTCAACCACACTTTCACACATAAAATATTCTGACACGTAAATCCAAAAAAAATTCTTACTTTTTAATCACACATTATTCAAAAATTCACTATTCAAAACAATGTTTTTTCTAAAAAATGACCACCAAACGAGGGCAAACTAGGTTAATTCAAGAAAATCTGGAACCTCCAAAGTATTGATTTTCGAAAAATCAATAAACTTTTGTAAAAAAGTTCTTTCAACACCTTTCTCCATTCATTTATCACTCTTTAGATATACAAGAATAATAAATAACTAAAATCTTACAAATGAAAATATAAATAACTTTTCTGAAATATTAAAAGTAGACCCGTAAAAAAAAAAAATCACTTTTTAATTAATACCATATTTGAACTTTCCTTTTAAATGGCTTTAAAAGTTACTTTTTGTAACTAATTTGAGTTTTTTATTTTGAGGGTTTAGACTTTGAATATTTTGGAACCCAAAGTTTTTTGTACACTTTATATGGATTTGTGAAAGTGAAACAATTCTTAGTGTTTATTTGGCACAATTTATTTGAAAATAATTTTTCATCAATCTCAATTTCAAACACACGTTTTCCTAATGAAATAATTTTGTACGTGGATCTATGACTTTTTTTCATACTTTTTAACAACGTAAAATTATAGTTATCGAAAATCCAAGAACTGGTTAAAAATAAAATTTGTTTGTGGACGCAATGAGAGAATTGCAGCTACGATCTCAAATCTTTCACTTTCTCATAGATTTTACCCAAACAAAGTCAACATCAATTCAACTAATTAGAAAGTAGTTTTAAGTTAATTTTATAAAATATTTAACTAAGCCTTCGTATGAAAACCATTATTTGGGGGAAAATAAAATTTTAAATAGTGATTTTTAAGAGAATGCGTGGTTAAAAAGTAGGGAAATGTTTTTGATTTATGTGCAAAATATTTTATTGTGTGATTGAAAATGAATTTATAGAAAAAGGAAGTTGAAAATTATGATTGTCAGATAGTGGCTAAATTTTTATACTTTTGATCTATTTGATTTGTGCTCGTACAACTTTATAAAGAACGGAAAACAAATTGAGCCCCGACCTCACTAATGCAATATTTTAGTGCTCCTTCTATTGCTAAAAGTTGTTACCTCTACCACTTGAAAAAATAATTATGATTTTGAATTATAAACTTAAAAGCAATTTAAAGTGGATTTTCTTACCTTTTACTTTTCGTAGCAAGTGAAGTGACCTAGGGAAGTATAACTTAATATTTGATTAACGTACACAGCACGAACCTAATAAATTGACACGAACCTAAAATTGTGAGTTTGACTATAATAAAAAAAAACAATAAATTATGTGTTAAATAAATTAAGAGTCAATTAAATAAAATCGTTTTACATTAATTTTATTATTTCATTCTTAAATCTACTAAAGTACTATTTAGTACTGCATGAAAAATAAAATAAAATAACACTATTTTGTACTTTTATATAGAGGAAAAAAGAGATGGAGCGCACACATATTTGATTTGGCTAAAAATCATATTTTTAATTTTTGATAAAATTAATGAAACATGTGATTAAAAAATTGATAAAAATGTGGGTCCCATAAAATGTGCAATGATCGATAAATTTGAAAAAAAATAATTGAAGATTGGAATAAAAAATGGCCCAAGGGCATATAAGTTAGACAAATGGAAGGAAAAACTTCTTAGAATAAAATACTCACACGCTATAAAAACCCCATGTACAGATCTTAAGGTCATAGGTGACCTTATAGATTAAGACTCTGATGACCAAAGATTCCCGTCATAGTTAGGATATAAGAGATTTAAGGAAATTAATCGTGTAAATGAGCTGTGATAGGGCTTTCAAAGTAGGGTCCTATTACGCTTAGGTGAGATGGAGCCCGTGGACCCGTGGTTGACTCGTGATCATCCGAAGATGAGGGTGAAGACCTTGCCCTTATGGACAAAGTTGCGACTGATCTCCGAGAGCAGGATGCCACATCTTATGTAGGTCGGGGGTATAACCAAGTCCATGAGGGTGGACTTAGAGTCATAGTATACATGACTAAACGAGATGGTGAGTCATAAGTTATTGAACCACAATAGTACTGGAGCTCGATAATAGGAGGAACTGCTAACTTAATGTACGATTATATGTATCGCATTATTTATATTGTCATCTATTAGCTAATCACATTTGTATAATTGAGCAATTTAACTTTATCATGTACATGTCTTGCGCACCATTCGTTACTAACTACTATGTTGATATCAATATAAAGGCTAAACATAGAGTGTGATCTACAAAATGTACCACAAAATTCCGATATGATCTTTGCAATGCATGCTAGTGTGTGAGCATACACATCAACATGCGTGTTGTATAACAATTACAACTATCTATTTAAATAAGTGTTTATGTTCGTAGAGTAATTTTATTCAGCACTACTGGTCCAAACACCAGTTTAGGTGGTGATTATATGTTATTAAATGATAGATTCACTTAAATTCAAGATCAAATGATTCATTTAATTAAACTTATCAAGTATGACCACATAGATTAGTGTTTTAGCTCCATTGGTCCTAGATAGCATTATTCATGTTCGTAAAAGCTAATTTATGGCAAGTTTGACTCATAAAGATTGAAATAAGTAAGTTACTTATTTTGATAACTTATCATTTCCCATTACTAGCTAGACGATGCTCATTGGATTGAAGCCAATACAATTTAAGAGATTATCTTGCCTTTATTGTCAAAATCCATTAAACCTTCTATCGATAAAATAAAAGGGGAAAGTCGTCAGAGAGCTGATACATTCTTTTAAATATCACTTCCTCCAAGAATCGATACTCTTATCTGTACATAAGAGTTAATTTCTAGGAAAAATATTTGAAGTTTGAACCAAGATAAAGAAAATTCAAAAAGTAGCTTTTATGAATCAAACGAAATAACTTTTAAAGATGCTACACCAAAAAAGAAAAAAACAGAAAGAGTAAAAATTTATGTAAAGCTTAACCAAATTTTGTCCTAAAGAGAGGAGCGGCGATTATAATTGTTGATAGGAAATTTGATGACTTCCAATGGACCCCGCAGAGGCTCTAGATGCTCATTTTGAAAATTTTCATCCATGTATATCTGGAAAAGGTAAATTAGGTGATGTTTAGCCCCTGTTTGGCACTCATTTTTTTTCTCATTCTCATTATTTTTCTCTTTCTTCATTTCAACCACATTCTATCGATAAAATAATATTTCATATAAACCTAAAAATTCTCCTTACTTTTTAACCACACATTCTTCCATCAATCACTATTCAAAAACACATTCTTCCACAAAAATGGGTGTCAAACACCCCCTAAATGTTTTGTTTCGAGAATTTAACTGAAAAAAATTGAACATGGGAAGAATAATCCTTATTTTTTGGGTTTGAGCTAAATATTGAGCCATAGAGACAATCATTCTCCTTCACATGACAATTGCAACTGAGCTAAATCCCCCAACTACCACCCACATTTACCAATTTCTGCCACCATTCCGACTTTCACCAACAGTCACTACAACACAAACAGTCTACGGCAACGTTTGAAATAAAAACACATTTTTCTACTAAAATTAGTTTCAAACACCCCCTTAGTTTATTTCTACAGCGATGACGAGTCGATTTAATATATGTTGTTCTAAGTTGTACATGAGGTGGGACCCGCTTAAATAAAAAATATTTTATGCAGTTGGTCCTACCCCCATGTTGGGGGAGGGGGGCTGGGGGGGAGACCCTTATGTACAAAAGTTAATGTACAATTAGAATTTTCCCATAAGGAAGAGATAATGTGCCAATGTGTTAAAATATATTATGAAAACAAGTTTTAAACAAAATACCTTAATTAATGTATGTCATAATTTGGTGGACTAAACTAGATTAAGAAACAAAAACACATAATGTGTTTGCACTTAGACTTTACAATAGAGGCTCGGGGTCGTGCAATCACGAGTCGATTCATTTTAGGCTCTTGAACCATCTCCTTTCAATAATTTCTTTAAAAAAAATGCAAGCTGTTTGTGGATGGCTCGACTCGATTTATGAGGTCCACGAGCCAAACGTCAAGCTGAACCTAATTTCTAGACCGGCTCGTCAATGGGCCGAGTCCATTGTCACCCCTACATAAAACAAGGAGGTATGGGATTAAGTAATGTGATAATTACCTATTTCCCTACCTTTGGAGATTCTAATTCTAAAATCATATTTCAAGTTTTTCATAGGTGACCTTATAGATTAAGAGCTTGTATGAGAGAGATTAAAATCAGATTAAAATTGAAAATATAGCCGTTATTGTTGACTTTTATTAAACGAGTGGGACCCAATAACGGCTATATTTTCAATTTTAATTTGATTAAAAGTTCTCTCAAACAAGGCCTAAGACTCTGATGACCAAAGATTCCCGTCATAGTTAGGATATAAGAGATTTAAGGAAATTAATCTTGTAAATGAGCTGTGATAGGGCTTTCAAAGTAGGGTCCTATTACGCTTAGGTGAGATGGAGCCCGTGGACCCGTGGTTGACTCGTGATCATCCGAAGATGAGGGTGAAGACCTTGCCCTTATGTACAAAGTTGCGACTGATATTCGAGAGCAGGATGCCGCATCTTATGTAGGTCGGGGGTATAACCAAGTCCATGAGGGTGGACTTAGGGTCATAGTATAAATGACTAAACGAGATGGTGAGTCATAGGTTATTGAACCACAATAGTACTAGAACTCGATAATGGGAGGAACTGCTAACTTAATGTACGATTATATGTATCGCATTATTTATATTGTCATGTATTAGCTAATCACATTTGTACAAGGGCCTAATTGAGCAATTTAACTTATCATGTACCTGTCTTGCGCACCATTCGTTACTAACTACTATGTTGATATCAATATAAAGGCTAAACATAGAGTGTGATCTACAAAATGTACCACAAAATTCCGATATGATCTTTGCAATGCATGCTAGTGTGTGTGCATACACATCAACATGCGTGTTGTATAACAATTACAACTATCTATTTAAATAAGTGTTTATGTTCGTAGAGTAATTTTATTCAGCACTACTGGTCCAAACACCAGTTTAGGTGGTGATTACATGTTATTAAATGATAGATTCACTTAAATTCAAGATCAAATTATTCATTTAATTAAACTTATCAAGTATAACCACATAGATTAGTGTTTTAGCTTCATTGGTCCTGGATAGCATTATTGATGTTCGTAAAAGCTAATTTATAGCAAGTTTGACTCTTAAAGATTGAAATAAGTAAGTTACTTATTTTGATAACTTGTCATTTCCCATTACTAGCTAGACGATGCTTATTGGATTGAAGCCAATACAATATAAGAGATTATCTTGCCTTTATTGTCAAAATCCATAAAACCTTCTATCGATAAAATAAAAGGCGAAAGTCGTCAGAGAGCTGATACATTCTTTTAAATATCACTTCCTCCAAGAATCGATACTCTTTATCTGTACATAAGAGTTGATTTCTAGGAAAAATATTTGAAGTTTGAACCAAGTGAAAAGAAAATTCAAAAAGTAGCTTTTATGAATCAAAACGAAATAACTTTTAAAGATGCTACACCAAAAAAGAAAAAAACAGAAAGAGTAAAAATTTATGTAAAGCTTAACCAAATTTTGTCCTAAAGAGAGGAGCGGCGATTATAATTGTTGATAGGAAATTTTTATGACTTCCAATGGACCCCGCAGAGGCTCTAGATGCTCATTTTGAAAATTTTCATCCATGTATATCTGGAAAAGGTAAATTAGGTGATGTTTAATTTATTTGTACAGCGATGACGAGTCGAGTTAATATATGTTGTTCTAAGTTGTTGTCTTTCAACGCATTTTAATATATCGATATATCATCTCTTTTCAATACATACATGAAAAAACGCTTACGTGCTGCTGAGTTATAAAAAAAATGTGTTGGTGTATTCTCATTTATTAGGAAGGACTTTACTACTTGTACATCACAATGTACATCGGGGTGTACACCTCCTTTACATGGGGTGGGACCCGCTTAAATAAAAAAATATTTTATGCAGTGGATCCCACCCCCATGTAGGGAGGTGTAGCCCCTTATGTATAAAAATTGATGTACAAGTAGAATTTTCCTATTAGGAAGAGATAATGTGCCAATGTGTTAAAATATATTATGAAAACAAGTTTTAAACAAAATACCTTAATTAATGTATGTCATAATTTGTTGGACTAAAATAGGTTAAGAAACAAAAACACATAATGTGTTTGCACTTAGACTTTACAATAGAGGCTCGGGGTCGTGCAATCTCGAGTCGATTCATTTTAGGCTCTTGAACCCTCTCCTTTCAATAATTTCTTTAAAAAAAATGCAAGCTGTTTGTGGATGGCTCGACTCGATTTATGAGGTCCACGAGCCAAACGTCAAGTTGAACCTAATTTCTAGACCGGCTCGTCAATGGGCCGAGTCCATTGTCACCCCTACATAAAACAAGGAGGTATGGGATTAAGTAATTTGAATCTGATTAGACAATAATACTCTTATTATTAATAACACTTAGGCTTTTGATGACTGCAAATTTTCAAAGTTTTAGTCGCTGAGAGAGGGGACATCCGCACTTTCTTTCACATATAGACACACGCTCCCACTTTCTCTCTCTATTCACTCTTATATTCTCTATTTCTTTTACACTCCCAAGTCCCAATCCTTGAAACTGCATTCTTCTCTCTCTCTTAACTTTTTCTGTAACTCTGAAGCACTGCCGAAATATTGATTTGATTTAAGTGGCAGCAGCTCCAAATTGCCGTTTGTTTTTGAGCTTTCACTTCTTATTTTTCCAATCCATCTCTCACTCTACGGCTTTTCAAGAATTTGGTGCCCATTTGATTATTCAAGGTATGTACACTACCCCATTCTTCTTCTTCTTCTTCTTCTTCTGTTTTCTGCTTTTTTTTTTTCTGTATTTTTTGTTGATGTGGGGTGGGGTGAGGGTAGGGGATATACTCCAAGAGTTTAATGGATGATTCATAATGGGCTCAAATTTTACTTCAATTTTCATGGATGAGCTCACAAAAAAATTCAGCTTAAAATGTGTTGTTTTTTTTTCCATTTTTTATAGTTTCATCTTTTAGTTCTCTTCCCCCTTTTCTGATTCTCTAGCCTGAAAAAGTGTGTCAAAGTTTCTTTTGCAGCTCTCTTTTTCTTACACGTTAATCATTCTAACATAGACACTTTTTGTTTTGTGAAATGCGCAATCTTTTTTCTATCATCTCTTTTAAAGTATTAAACTCAGTGAGTCATGTTCTTCTTGACTCGGATTTTGATATCCGAGTATTGGGATCCATCTCAAAAATGAATCTTGTTAAGAGAAGAAGTCACATTTAAGGGGAAATTTATCTCAGATTTTTTATTTAATTTTTGCTCAAGTGGTTGGTTGAAAAGCTCTTGCATGAAATAAATTCTACTTTTTTTTTGACAATTCACTCCCACTTTTTGACCAGACATTCGCAAATTTTGGTTAAATAGCTCTTTCATGAAATGGACTGTTTGTACAAATTTTGATGCCTTAAGTACTACTGTCACATCTATGCATTTATGATTTTCAACCATCCTTCTGAAACAATTCTGGTGAGTAAATAAATATATTGTACCATAGTAGATTTTCTTCCTTTGCTGCGCCTTAGCCTGCCATTACTAGCCTCGAGTTACGACCCGAAATCCGGGATTACGGCCGGGTTTCTGAATGAGCTCACCGTCTTCATTTTCATAATAAAAAATAAATAAAACCTGGGTTTTTTTTTTTTTTTTGTACTAACATATGATTATATATGAATTAATATTTTGTGATTTTAGGAGTCAAGAAAATGATCATGAGCAGGAGATTAGCATGTTGTACAAGAGACAGAGAAATCAGTATTGACTTTGATGAACAAGAGAGTAAGCTTCTCTCTCTATATATACATACACGTGCGTGTATGTATATGTTTCCTTAATTTATGCAGTCAGATTGGCTTAATTTCCGTGGGTTTTGTAGGTCATAATTGAGTAAAAAAGTGTTACAATTTCTTATACGTCGGTGGCGCACCTAATTACGTACCACATGGCCCACCTAATTGAATATTGGAGATTTTTAAATTAGTTAAGTACGTGTCTCGTATACAGTATTGAGAAGATTGTCAAGTCTTACCTACTAAACACGCTATAAATATTGAAATTTTGAAGTGTTTCGTATTCAGTACTGATTGTTGAGGGCTACTATTCATCCGTGCATACCAAACGAGCCATAAATGTGAAAAATTCTTGGTGGGGGCTAATTTGAGTTAAAAATAGATGTTTTTTAATGACTTGAATGGGCCCATACCTTCAAGAAATAGAAAAATGTGAATGAGAACATGAAAATGTTCTGTCTTTAATAGTCAAAACTCAATAGCTTCCATGTAAGTATCATGTGAGGTTTGGCCATGTGGGGTGACTCTATTTATTGAGTTATATTTATTTCACACTGCCCCAAAAAGTAACATTCATGTCATTTGACTATTGAAATTGAAGATTGAACTTGATGCCAGTGTTAGTTCTACAGTCTTATTATTAGAAACCACAGTAAGAAAAAAAATTTGTGATTAAAATGGTACCATAAAGGTCATAAGTGTCTCCACTGAGTTGTGAAGTGCTTGCTTGGTTAGGATTTCAAGTACGTATAAATAGTGGGTCCAAAATAATGCGCAGTTAAAAAGTAAATAAAAGTCTTGGGTCCTAAGTAATGTGTAGTTAAAATGTGACTAGCTAATAAGCTTGAAAAATCTTTGCAAACATGCTCGAAACCCGTTCCCGTGTGTTGCGGGTGTGTAATTGATCTTATTGAGTCCTTGACCATTAACTTTGGTGGGACTTTTCATTTCATTATTTATTGGACTTGCAAATCAAATGCTATGGCCCCATCAATTCAATTTTTTTGTCCATTCTTTCTTGATGCTTTTGTAGATTGTAAAGAAAGGGAAAAGTCTTTGGTTATGTGAGTATGTAACACATAAAAGTGATAGTAATTTATCAACTCAATACCACTCAGAAATGGAGGCCCCTGGAAATTTCAGTGGCCCTTACAAAAGATATGATTGACATGAATGGTGGACCTATATTACAATTTAATTATGAGCTCCATTACATTGAGACAATGAAATAAATTAATGGAGACAAAGAAGTCATTGTTCTCTGACATTTTATTTAACAAAGTTGTGTCCTTTTATTTGGCTCAACGTCTATTATGGGATTCTCTTTCTGTACCATATGTTTCCTGTTCTTTTGTTTTTTGGATTCAAGTAGTTGTGTTTCGATCTTTTAATCCGACCCTTCAATTCTTTTCTTTCTTCTTTTTTTTTGTTCGCTATGTTATCCTCTATAAATTTCACGTTTCTTAATAAAAACGAAGTGGTCCATGGCTCAACTTCTTAAAGATTTGAATTTTTTTTTTTGTTATCTTCCAGTTGTTTTGATTTTGTTCCAGATTTTATTTTTCGTGTTTTAGTGCAATATTTAGATTTCTGATGGATTCCATGATAAGGTGTAATAGGCGAGTCTTTATATTTAATCAAGATGTGGTTTAATTAGAAGCTGGTGTTTGAATAATGACATGTTGAACCTATCTGATATCACATGTCCAATTAAAATTTAAATAAATAAATTTATTTGACTAACTTAAAGAAGGGAGGTATTTATTTATTTTAATTTAATTATCAAAACGCCCCCTCATGCTCGGACTGGATTAGTCTTCTCACTCATATCAAGAAAACTAAATTAAAAACTGAAACTTACAGGAATAGTGACATACAATGGCCTTGAGAGCTGTATACTCAACAGTCATTCTTTTGACAATGCTAGTAGCACTAGCAGAGGAGACGGACGTATCACTGATTCCTTGGATGAAGATGACTCAAGCTGCTCGTCTAGCAATAATGCTTTTGGATCATTCTCTTCCCTTTGGACGATAATGAAAAAGGACGATCGGGGCACAGACGAATGGGACTTCTCTGCAAGCCCACTACACTACTATAAAAATGAAAAACCAAGCCAGAATTCAGATGTTGAAATGATGAAAGAAAAGTTCGCAAAGCTGTTACTTGGGGAGGATATTACGGGTGGTACCATAGGGGTTTCTGCTGCATTAGCATTATCCAATGCCATAACTAATCTTGGAGGTATATAACCTGAGAGAATCATCTTTTATGCTTCTTTTGAAATTACCACTCTATGCTGATCTTCGACCTCTGAAAATTTACAACTTGATTTGCAGCATCCGTTTTTGGTGAGCTTTGGAAGTTGGAACCACTGCCAGAGGAAAGAAAGAGCAAGTGGCAAAGAGAAATGAATTGGTTGCTATCCCCGACTAACTATATGGTCGAATTAGTTCCTGCAAAGCAAAATGGCATCAATGGCCGGACAATGGAGGTATTTTGTTTCTTCATAGAATTAATTCTACTAGTCTAGGTACCAGCATTCAACTTAAGTGGGGGAGGTCTTAAGTTCGAATAATTGCAGAAGCGAATTAAATCCATGTTGGGCCTAACCCCAGTGGACAATATTTAAGCTGACGCTACATACCGAATCCCGCAAGGGTCGTGTCGTTACAAAAAAAACCGCACTTTTGACTTCTAAGTTAATTATTTTCCTAAACATGATATTCTTGTTACTTTTTGTACTAACAAAACTTAATTTGAAAAACATAACTTTTAAGCACAACCAAACTTGAGTGAAATTTCTTGTTGGTGTAGATAATGACCCCGAAAGCTCGATCAGACATTCATATGAATCTCCCAGCATTGCAGAAGTTGGATTGTATGCTTCTTGTAGGTGGTCTCTCCACTCGCAAAATTAAATCGCTCAGTTTCAGTTTTACTTTGACGGCCTAACTTCACCTGTTTACACGTGTCGAACTGACAGGAAACGCTCGACTCAATGGTTGATACTGAGTTTTGGTATGCGGAAGTGGGTAGCCGAGCAGAAGGAAGAAGCAGAAGTGCTGGCCAGAGCAAGAGATGGTGGCTTCCTTCTCCCCGGGTACCTACAATCGGGCTCTCTGAGAAAGAGAGAAAGAGGTTGCTACATCATGGTAAATTACTTTATCAAGTATTCAAGGCTGCCAAATCTATAAACGAAAATGTCTTGCTCGAAATGCCCGTTCCTACCGAAATCAAGGATGCATTACCAAAGGCAAGCTTGGTTCTCCTTATTTTCAATCATTTTAAACATGCAAATATGAGCTAAAATATATTAAATAAATTTAAATTATTCGTCAAAGCTAAATTAAAAGGGCTAGAACCCCTTCTGCTGTGATTTCTCGACGTGTCAGATTTGACAGCACTATGAATTTGTGGTTTTGTTAGAAAGAATTCCATATTGCTGACTCCCGTGTTCCTCCCTCCTCGTTACAGTCTGGAAAGGCAAGCCTTGGTGTCGAACTCTATAAAATATTGACTGCAGAATCACTTGCAGCTGAGGAAATGATCGGTTGCCTTAATCTGAAATCTGAACATGAAGCTCTTGAAGTTGTTAACAGATTGGAAACTGCAAAGCTTGCATGGAAAGAGAAAATCACGGAGCAGGAAAGTGGCAAATCTCCAGTTCGAACATCTTGGTCTTTTGTGAAAGATCCAATATCAGAGCTGGATAAGGTGGAGTCGTTGGTGAACCAAGCGGAAATACTTCTGCAGCTGCTAAAGACCAAGTATCCCAATCTTCCTCAGAGCTTCCTTGACGTTACGAAAGTTCAATATGGAAAGGTAAGTTGCTTGTTACTCTTTAAGCTATTTGATATCGATTGAGTTCTGACTAGCCAAATAAGTGTTTGGATTAAGTCCTAATCCCAATATGAGAGTGATATTACTTGAAAGTAATTTAAGCACGACTTATACGGCATTTAACAGTAGCAAAATGTAAAAGATTTCCTCATTGATTTTGCTATGTACATATGAAGGATGTGGGGCATTCGATTCTGGAGGCCTACTCTCGAACTCTAGCTAACCTGTCATTCAGCATTCTCTCTCGGATAGGAGATATTCTGCAAGAAGATGTTGTGAGCAATCCCAATTCACCCGTGGCAATTTCACACCTCATTGGAGCTAGAATTCCTGGGATATCAGATAGTCCGATTCTGGACCGTGTGAGGCACTCCCTTATTCATCAGTTGAACGGTGTTGATGGAAAATCACGGGTTTCCCACGATACTGATGCTTCTGATATTGAAACTCAGTTTTCTGAAGCTAAAATAAGTAGTTCAGTCAATGCAACACCAAGTCGAAGCCGAGTATGGTGCATTGGTCGAGAGGCTTGCCACAGTGTATCTGCTCAAAATTCCCCATGACGAGGAACTGTGCAGTTTCTGATGGCATCTTGTGTAAATAATACCATCCCCATGTCATACAGCAGCTTTTCTTATAGCTGCATCTTGATATGTATATGACAGTGATTTTCCTTCTGGATAGCTAGAGTAATATTGAATTATATGTTAACTTTATTGAAGGAAAGTGTACCTGTAATATACAATTTGAATCTGCTTCATGATGTTTCCTCCAATTGTATGTGGTGATTTGAAGATGAAGGTAGAGGTGGCGGCTCATGCCCACAAACAAGCTGAACGGTGAAAACCTCAAGCTAGCTACTTGTCGGTTCGCAAGTTGGCTCGTCATTGGGGAGTGAAAATATAATCATCAATTAGAAAAACACGAGCCGTGAATGGCTCGTGAGCCACGCTAGGCTTTTTGGTAGCTCTGTTGGTGTTGTGGGCCAAGCCAAGCCAAGCCCGACGATGGGCAAGTTGAGAGTCTCAACTCTGTTCGGCTTGACCCATTTATCATCCCTAGATAAAGGGTTCATCCGTTACACAGAATGGAATGTATCTGTTCCCAAGTTTGTGTTTCTTTAGGTTATGATCATGAGTCATGACCCCCTACAAAGTTAGAATTAATTCCCTAAATAGTCACCGAACTTTTCTAAAATTTCCACGAGGTCACTAAACTTCAAAACTGTCCCCGTTAGTCGCTGAACTTCGAAAAATTGGTAGCATATCCATTATTGTGTAAACGATGCTTGCAAAATTAGAAGGATTTGATTATGTGTCTAACATAATGACAACGTGGCACATCATTGTAAAAAAAAAAATTGCTAAATGTTATTTAGAAACACATCACGAAAGGGAGAAAAGGGATTAGGGTAAGTTGGTTTTGGGGATTCTAGGCCGGGTTTGGGTTTTTGGGTTAAAATCAGATTTCATTTATTTATTTATTTATTTATTTTTGTTTAAAAACGTTTTTGGGGCAAAAGCAACTTGTCCACTTAAGATGCAACCGTGTGATTTGGCATTTTTTTTTTTTACAATGACGTGACATGTCAGCCATACCATTAGACAAGTACTCAAATCATTCATACTTTGCAAGTGTCATTTACGTAGTGATGGATGTTGTATCAATTTTCAAAGTTTAGTGGCTAACGAGGGGACAGCTTTGAAGTTTAGTGATCCCATGAGAACTTTATGAAAAGTTTAGTGGCCATTTAGGGAATTTGTCCTACAAAGTTATTTCAAGGTATTTATAAGAAAAATAAATAGAGTCATTAAAAATTTGGAGATAAAAAAAGAAGCTAAAATTGAAATGAAAAATAGCTGTTTTCTCACAAACGAATGGTTTATTTTATTTTTTATGATCAAATAGACAATTTCTATCAATACTAATAGTCAAGTGCTGCAAAATACAAGTTTAGAGATCTAAATACTAAAAATGTTATAGAGCTACGTGCTATATTTCCCATGCATCACTTCTAAACAAATAACTTTTTTCAACGTTCACACATAAAACATAGAAGAGATACATGCGTTGAAGAAGTGTGAAATATGTAGTTCACGAGTGATTTGAAGAGGGGTCTGCAAGCAGTAAACAAGAAATATATTGTAAAATCAATCATGTTTTATGAAAAGTAAAACTGTAATTATGGTCCATAGCTTATTATTGCGTCTAATTGTACTATTTGTGATAATTAACCGTTGATGTATCCCTTTTTCATTTTTCTCGTGATTTCTATGAGTTTTATTAATTATGTTAATTTTGTGATAATTAACCGTTGATGTATTGTTTTAATTGTTCTTTTTGCCTTGTATTGAAATTTTTTCTTTCTTTTCACATGAAGGATTTTCAATTTGTTATTAAATTAATGGATTCAAGACGAAAAATGTGGACAATATCCATTTTTGTGGGCCTTTTTTGGTGAGAGATTTCTTCATGGATACTATTTTCATTTTCAATGAAATGTTTGAATATTTTTTATTTTTGAAGAAATAACATTACTCTCTGACAAAATTCAGGACAAGTTCTGGTAACTTAAGAAAGCAATATTTTTTGTGAAACTAAAAGTATCAATTATCAAAGACTCACAAGTCTTATCAAGTTCTTCTTGATACATGTTTAGTACATGAGTTTGTTCATTTTCTTCATCACCATTTGCAGAAATTCTTGCCTGAGTATGGTTAAAGGATTACTTTGATTGACTGTTTGTGGGATTTGATGAATAATTGGGGCAATGACTAAAAAAAAAAAAGAAATCCATATATTTAAAATTCTACCAATATTTTGATGTCATTATATTGTAACACCTCCATTCATATTATAGAATAATGATCTTATCATTAATTTTGCTTCTCAAAAGGCAAAAAATAAATTTTACATAAAAGTTTTGTTTTCAGCTTCACAAGAAACCACAACATAGAGCTTTCCCTAATCCTTCCGATTTGCACCAACCTTTCTTGTGTTTCAAAGAAAACTCGTATGTTTGGTTCAGCTTAAATGCTAGAAAAGGAGTTAAAAGAGTTAACTTATTTTCTGCTTTTCTTGGCATTTAAGCTCAGCCGCAGATGCTCTAATTCAGGTAAAATAAAGAAAATGAAAGAATAAACATAAGGTCCGTTTATTGTCCGCAATGGTTTGTCTCCACGTGTTCACAATTTGAAACTATTCAAGTCACATACACACAGAAATTATCTTTACACCGCAAAAATAGCATGATACACTTGAAACATTTACAACCGAGAGTAAGTTCACAGCTCAATAGTCTGCGTTCTTTCAGATTGCAATCATAACTATATGAATGAATATATCATTTTATAAATCCCCATACACTCAGCTGATAAATCATTCGACTTATGGTGAAACGCTTCATGTGTGTACAGGAATCTGTCTTTAGCTATAGCTTAGTCCTGCAATAGGCAACACAACTGGCTTGTTTCAATTTTTCGAAGTCAGCAAGGTGGCACAGCGGGCATCAGTACCTTAAAACACTATCTTGAAGGAAAATTTGGCCTGCAAGACATCCACGTAATATTCCACGTGCACATCGTGAATATTACATAGAAATACCAATGAAACTGCAAAAACCATTGAGGATAATAACATAAGTCTTCTCTCAGCGCTAGGCTCATCATATACATGAAAGTAAAAATGAACTGTTATGCCTTATAATTCTATAGCACGGTGTTGATTCAGCAGTTTCTTCGCTTTTTGGGTGGGGCTGTGGGTTAAACACAGTGAAAAACTAATGATCAATGCATGTGTGACAATGCACACATCTTTATGTGATATATTGACATGTTTATTGCTTCTCACTAGCATCTGCATGGATGATCATTATATATGACAAAGAAAATTAAGGGAAAGAAATAACTGAAAAAAACCAGTGAAGATTCACATACAAGATGCATTCTAGTCGAACCCTTGAAAATAATTACACTTGAAGTCCGCTTAACCATTTACTGATGGTTCTAGATAGGACTCTAGTGTCATTTAGAGAAATAGCCTTCAGCCCTTGAGCAATAGCATCTGCTGGAGTGTACACTGGTCCTACTTGCCACCTTGGTTCCTGATAAGACAAAATTTCAATTTGCATTTAGGATTGCTAGTGAAAGCAGAGATAAGACTCTTAGTGCATGTATACAGAATAGTATGGCCACGATATGGGAGATAATTAAATGTGTTCATATGTAAATATCATGGGCTTTCATGGCAGTTTGAGTAACTTATTTTGGCAACACGAGCAGAAATGCCAAGTAGTTGTCTGTCAAACCCAAGACCCCGAGTCTCTCTTGCCGACCCCTCCTTCATGGGCTGGGCTGCAGTGGTGTAATAGGAGGTGTTAGAGCAACTTAGGGGATAATATTGGTCTAAGTCCAATGTATTGGTATAAGATGTGCGTCACGAGTGTTCATTACTTCTGTATATCTCGAGAAAAGGGACAAGCCCCGAGCCCAATCCCAAGTAGCTATTGTGAAGCCCATGCCAGAGTTCACTTGTAAACCTCTAACAACAGGCCTGATGTGTGAAGAGCCATACCACAACCAACACTAGGGTAATATTGGTGTGGAGAATCAAACCAGATGTATCTTAGGATGCCTTTGACAGTGTATGGAATGCGAAGAGGTCATCGCATGTTCACCAAAGAAGAGTGATCTTAACATCTTACGTTGATTGCATTTAGAGTTCATATGTGGGGTGGTAAGCTTCGATAACGACTTTAGGTTAAATATTTTGGCAAAGTGATGCCAAGTAATCACTTGTCGAGTCCATTTAGCTCAGGCTTTACCAGCAGGACCCCTCCTGTGGGTATGAGAGCCAATCTCAAGGCTAATATTATGAAGGAGCCTGACCGGATTTAAATTATGTCAGTCCTGAACTATGAACTTAAAATAGTGTCCTTTTGGAAAGTGATTGTGATGTGACATGGGTTGTCTGACAAAATTTAGCGTTGTTTGTGAGTGTAATGGCTCCTATACCCACTTGACATTTTTATTCAAACTGCCTTGATAGTTGATCCAGGATGACTATTCCCATAGTTGATTTTTCCTTTTTTCTTTTTTTTAAAGAAAAAAATCAGTGATGTAGAATACTACCTGTGCACATGGTGTGATATGGTTACCACCTAAAATAACTTTCTCAAGTTTTCCACCATAAGACTCCACACGGGGCTTTAGTGTCTCTTCAAGGAGATCTGTCTCGTCAATTGCATCAAAATCAAACTTTATCTGAAACAAAAATCGACACAATTAATAAATTTTAGACAGCATTTGATTTGATTTAACAGTGGGTACAAGTGTAAAAGTACCAATAGAGTGTGTTGAATATTGTATAACGTCTTAAAACAGTCAAGATTCTCAGAAGGCGTTGGCTTGAACTCAGAAATCCCTTGAGCAACCTAAACAAAAATTACAATGGAAACCAATTAGAACTTGAAGGTAAAAACTTTAGTGAAGCATTAGGCCAGGAATTAGTGCAGTTTGTACCAAACCCTGCGGTAGAAGCACAAGATCAATTTGGAAATTTGAACCACGTGAAATATAAAGGTTATAAATTCACAAATACATCATGGCATATTACCTGATTAAATACTGCAGGCAACTGATCAACAAATTTGTTCAATGAAATAGCAGCTTCTGGGTCATAGTCGGGTATGATTCTTTCAGCCACGTCAACTAGTGCTTTCCATGCATCTCCTAATTATTCCACATCTTTAAATTACTGAAGCATCATATGGGACAAAAATTACAAGGCCATAACTCAACAACAGAATTAATAAGCTGGACAACTTTAACATCCTGCATATACTGCTATGCAATGAGAACTAGTACAACCAAGAAAAAAGAACCAATTTCAAGTCTTTCAAAATCAACATCGACAACTCTACAGCGATCTAACTTACATTCAGCGCTCTCTGAAGCTACCTTGAAAATTTACAAAAATTTATAGGAACTTCATACTAATTTTTCAAGCTTCTAACAAAAAATAATTCTCAAAATCATAAATACATCAAATCAATATTACTTTGTTAGTGGACCAAGAAACCTATGTTTGTAGGGTGGTTTTTTGTTGGACTTATTTCCTTTTTAAGTTTTAGCAATGGTTGAGCTGAACTTCAAAACAAGAAAATACCACTTGCCAAAAAAAAAAGGTGTGCCTTTTCCCTCCTAGGCATGCCTTACACGGTCAATATAGTTTTAACCGTCTATTTTCCCACCTAGGTGTGAGGCATGGATTTTTCTCCAAGCCTCGAGCCTAGGCATGCCAAAGCAGAGCCTAAGCGAGCCTTTTAGAACACTATATCAGTAGCTCCTAACTTGAAAATTACACCCTTGTGAGCTTCAGGAAATGGAAATTTCATAATATGCAAAACAAATGTGAATCATTAAGACGTTGCTAACAACAAACAAAATCTGTATCTTATGCCAAAATTCTTTCCTGGCAATAACCACTAAGTGCCTTTGCACCAAACCATGACAACACTTGTCAAGCTCAGAGAGGAACTTTCGTGCACAATACAATTTTTTGTGGTAATTTGACAATTTCTTATATATACAGAGGCATTTGAAAATATATTGAGTCTTAATATTGAAGAACTCAAAAGGAATGAATTAATAGTAAGAAAAATTACTATTATGATCTTAAATGAAATTAAAATAGCAAATAAGCTGCACATAAGTCCAACATACCTGTGACACTCTGAGCCATCGAATACATAGGGGAGGCCTCCATGACTGGCATCATCTGATTGACTAGAGGACCTAACTGCAAAAAAGAACGACAGACAAATTTGTTATAAATTGGATAATTACTGTTAACTTCACCTAACTTTTTACTTAAGAAACAACAGGATATAACTGCATGGACTTCTATGTTGTTGATACTAAAGAAACTTCAGCGTGAGTTGAATTCAAGACCAAAAAGAATGATAAAACCATTTCTTTGCATGGAAAGAAAAAAGAAATAGTTCCCTATCTTGGGAAATAATCTAATATGCAAGCTCCATCTTTGTTGGCTAGTCAGAAACATGAGTGTCAAAAATTTATTTAAGACATCTTTGTGACTTCTTTTACTGTATTGAAGGTATCATCCAGATCCAAAAAAAAAAAAAAAAAAATTGAACACTTCGGACAAATTTCACAATTGAATACTCAATGTAGGATGCAAATATATACCTGCTCAAAGTATGGTACTGCTTCTGATGCTGGCCTGTTGTTGTATGATATTATTGCATTAGCCTTCAACAAAAAACATATATAGTCTTTGTAAAAAGTTTATATATTGATATTTCATCAAATGACATGCAAATTTTAGAGTTTGAAGAATCACAATGAACCTTTGGTATCCTCTCACAGTAATAACTTCCCATGAGCACCTGAAGAAGTGCGCCATTACTGCAGATACATATTATTAAAAATAAAAAAAAACAATGTCAACGAACATTATCAACTATGATCTTTGGTAATTATATATATGCAGATTTAATGGTCCATTCAAACCATGTTAACGTTACATATATACAATGCAATCATGTTACCATTATATGTGTATATGCTTCCAATAAGCCTCCTAGTGGAGAATACGATATTACAAACCATGAAACTAATCTATGTAACCAACATTTATTGTAAACAGGCCACGTGCAAAGGTGGAGGCAGTTACAGACAGTCAATAACTACCCGTGTATATTGCAGAAGTTGGTCAGATGCTATATCATCCATTACAATACGGTTTTCTGTTTTCTCATAGTAATTTGAAGCTAGTTTCTTTTTACCTGTCATGATTTTTGAGTGGGGTTCAACCTTGATCCAATTACTTACACAAACCATTTTGCACCAAGAGTAATATATAAATAGCACATGATGATGCCCATTTTCTACATTATCCTAAAAATAAAATTTCTCAAGCCAAAAAATCCATACAATTAGCCTGATACGATATTCCATCAGCCAAAATTATATCTCGCATTCTAAATCATACAGGATCACATCCAGGGGCAGATCCAACACCCAACGAGCCAGCGCGGCCGCCCGTGCTGGATCTGCCAGGGAAAAAAAGGCGTGTAGATCATCTGGTCGCATGTTCGCTTTTGGATTCGATTCCCTTCAACGACACTTTTGCTTTTAATTTTTAAACACAGTAAATAATAACTAAATATTAAGATATACTTGTACTAAGCTTCAACAAAAGGGAAGATAGCTCATATGGCAGAGCGATCACTTTGTATGTAAAAGGTATGCGGTTCAATTCCATGTATATCCACTTTTTTGTTTAATTTTTTGATNTTTTTTGTTTAATTTTTCATGACAATAAATAATAACTAAATAATTATATATTATAGTTTCAGTTTTCGAAATAATTTCTTTAAAAAATGTATTGACTCAAATTATTACGTCATAATATATATACTTTTACTATTAAGTTTAATCAATTTATTTTATAAAATTCATATTTGGACAATCTAAGAACTGTACTTTATTCTTTTAAGAGTTCAAAAAACACTTTTCTTTTGGGGTAAAAAATAGTTCTAATTCTAAAAACCATTATTTTCAAAATTTTGCATAACCTTCGCCCAAGTTTGGAGCTCGTATTTACCGTTTAATCATGCTTTACGTATAAAATTCATCTAGTCTTGTTTAAATTCGTAAAAAATTTGAAACTTAATCATAAATATATGATTGAAAAATGCATTTTTTTTTTTATTATTTTGGGTTGTATTGGATTACATTTTCAAATATATATGACTTTTATGTTTTAGTGAATTTATATATAGATTAAATTTTTTTAATATTATTCAATTAAATATTAATAAACAATCTTACTATTGCGGCGCCAACGGTCAATAACCGTCCTAACTCATTCAATATCCTGGATCCGCCACTAATCACATCCCCACTAAGAGTTAATTATATCCCACTGAAAAGATATTTATATTCTGAAGTTATGAGATCACCTGTGTCCAATTGAATAAAAAGGAAGATCAGCAATCTCGACTCCCGAAAGTCCATTCTCAGGCAATCCAGACGCCAAAATTGAATCCAGGCATGCATGGAAACGTTCATAAATTTCTTTAGTAACTTGGGCATGATCAAATGTCACATTATACGGCACAGATATAATCAAATATCCTTCCTTAGCCAAAAGCTCGAGTAAATAGCTGCACACATGAACAAGAAACCATAAACAGACGCTTCCTTGGAACTAATTCATAGGTGCTTTCATTTATTTAGACTTCTAACACTATTTTTATAACTATATAAAGAAATAGAAAAAGCGAAAAACAAAGGAAACCACTACCTCCCTATTTGCTACTAAAAACAGACTCTGGGAGAAGTTTTTAAATACAGGAACTAGTAAACTTAGCATAGGTGGAATGCACTATCAGAGAAGAGAAGGCTGAAACTGCTCGTTTTCGATATAGAACTCGATAATCACAAACGGCCTTAGTCTCTATCCCTACTCTATTCACTGGGTTTTGAAATAGAAAATCGAAAAGGCCAAGGGAGGGGGAAGGATATCCTTTCTATTTCAGTATTTTGGTATGTGTAAGTTATACCAGCCATACAACTTAATTAAGGAGTTCCATTAAGATAGGCCAAAAACCTTTCTGATACAAATTTGGGCATTCGTGCTTCCTTTTCTGCTTCGTGGAATTAAGAGATCGTTAAAGATCTAAGAGTTTTTCACTTACGATGAATAATCATCCCTAGAAGTGACAGTTTACATCTCCAAACATGTGGGATGTCAAAAAACATTTCTGATTCCAATTCCATACCCCGATTCCATATACGCTCAGGCCAGTTATTACAAACACAGTATATACATAAGTGCACAAAGGAACATTCCAACAAGATTTAAATGAATACAATTAGTCCTCTTTAGCATCGTATGCTTTTTGACAAGATGATTAACACAGTATCAGACACTGCCACCTATTTATTAAAAAAAATGTGCACACTTGGCCAACACGAGGGACATGTCAAAATACCAACTTTTAGACGAGATATGTTAACTATATACATATAAACTAAAGTACCTGTAAGTAACTTCTGGCACAGCTCCAATAAAGGCGCCGCCGAGGAATTTGATGAGTGCTTTGGGTTTCACGCCTTGGGGCGGAGGGATTACTAGACAAGAATCAAGCCTTTTGTAAATCTTGTTACTATTACTATAACTATAATTATTTTTCACATTGTCAATTCTTCTACCGATTTGAGCATACGAGCTGGGGTTTACTGCCATGCGTGGAGATAAAGATTGCCAGTGCCGGGGCTTTTTGTAATTTCGAGGAATATTAGAGGGAGAATAAGTTGAATTGTTGAGAAATGGGGGTTTGAATTTGAGTTTTGGGGGATTATTACAAGTGAGAGGAGCCGTCGCCATTGATGCTCTGAGTATGGAATAGAGTGAGAAATTTTCAGAGGGGTCGATTCGATTGAGGATGAACTGCAAAGGACAGTTTTATGGAGCGTGGGATGCTATACGTGGCGACTCCTTAGCGCCATCCATTTGCTTTAAAATAAATAGGAAAATATTATTTAATTCTTATATTTTTAAAAGTTGATAAAATACTTGTCTCTAATTTCAAAGTAGGCCAACAGAATATTAGGGACATAAGTAAAATATTTTCATATGAAGAAAAAAAGTTGATGAGGACTTAAGTCTGATAATAGAAAAAGACCAGAAGCTTTCATTGCAATTAAATTTCAATATCCTCTCTGCAGATTAACCGGAAAAATTGTGAAAAAACTATAAAAACGCCACTCTTGTTCAAAGCGAATTAGACATTCCTTGAGCCTCCGCAGCCGGGTCATTGCTTCTGCAAATTGCTAGTGGAGCTTCTTCAGGTACCAATCTCCATTTATTATAGGAGAATAAGAATGTGTTGTGTGTGAGAGAGGAGAAATACCAAATTTTTCCTCGCCACTTAAAAAAAGAAAGAAAGAAAAAGGATTAGGACATGGATGAAGAAATCGGTGGATTTGTGTTTTTTACGTGAAACCCTTTCGTTTTTATATCTGATTTTTGAAATATGCGTGAAACTCCAAAGTTTGAATGAAGATTATTATGGGTACACAAAAAAGCTACTGCCAATTACATAGCTGGTATCATGGTAGAATTTTCTTGAAATTGCAGTCAGATGAATTGTAGGCACTTGATTTCTATTCTTTTCAAATATTAATGGACCTTAATTGCAATTGTACCTTTAATTGGGAAATTGAAAGGTTTCGCTGTTGTATCCATTTTGTTAGGGTAAAATGAAAAATCTTTAGCTTCTGAAGAAATTTTCTGTTTCAAGTTTAAATTTACTATCTGTCCACAGATTATCATTCACTGTTATAAGGTTGAAAGAAACAGCGTCACTTGAATTCAAATATGGCTGAAATCTATAAATTTTGGGGTATTTTATCACTTGCTACTCGAGATTGGAGTCAAAGCTTGTTTAACCTCTAATTACATTGTAAATAAATCAATTTCGAGCAAATTTTAAGCTCTTGGCTCAGTCTGTTAAAGAAATAAGCATTCAGTTTTGATGCTAAAAGTTTGTGGAGAATGGGCTTGATAAATATTTGCCCTACATACTATGCTTATGTGAACCTTCTTTTGCTATCCTGTTGCATTCTGTCTTGTATATGTTTGATTTCATATTCTTTCTTCTTACTGGAATAAATCCTCAAGCTTGTGATTAACATAGTTAAATTTGGTTGCCAAATATTTTTGTTTCCATTGGGCCTTTCATGGAGGCACTTTTAGTCAATTGGAGTGGAGAAAAATGACTCAAAGCGAAGACGACGATCTTTGGACATAAGACTTAGCTTCTAGTTGTTTTTCTTTCGTATGTCAAGGGTTGTTTTTCTTCCATATTTCCTTGATAATGGTAATTGGCAAATGATTTTTTTTTTCCTTGTCGGCACAGAATTTAATTTATGGGTTTGCCGAGATTTACTCGTCCCAAGGGAGGGGATGGCGAGTCAAGTCCCAACCTTTATGTGGCTAACTGTGGGCCTGCAGTTGGACTTTCATTTGACAATATCATGTCAGTGTTTGGTACATATGGCGAAGTCAGGGGAGTTTATGCTGCAGATGAGAGTGGCACTCGTGTTATTGTATCCTATCACGAGGACAGTAGTGCACAAGCAGCGCTTAGGGAACTAGATGGTCGTCCATGTTCTGATCTTGGAGGCCGTTCATTGCACATTCGCTATTCTGCACAATCACTTGGCAAGGTGTGGACTTTGTACTATCTGTAATTTTCCATATGTAATATGTTTAGGTAACTGCAGATTTGAACATATTTGATATGGTTCTTTAATGAGCCCAAGCATCCACAATGTCAGCAATAATTCAAGGGGGCAATTTGTTATAACTGTGAACACTTGGATTACTTACCCATTGTCTTACTGAATGTCTTCAGTGGGGGCAATGAACCAATTCAGCTTTAGTCTTATTCAGCTATCTCTTTCTATTGGTTTCAGAAAAAAGGTTGTTCAGTAACTCCCACGATTTGCAGTAAAATATCCATCTGTAATTTGATGAAGTTCGTCTTCTGCCTCAACTAATTACACTTTTGAATTAAGTATGTTTGATCCTCATGTAATGGTGTGCTTAATCTAAGTTTTAATTCTTATGACTCCATTTTCTCTATTCATCGATTTTGAGTAAGTAAGAATTAAATGATTCAAACCTTTTTTGGGTCAGCATAGTTAATAGTTGAACTCAAAGATTTCTCTATTTTGATGCTATACTTTTGTGATTTTTAAGGCTTCTATTACTCTTAGTAGCTGTTCCCATTGTTTGTACATTTTATTGAGTGACTATTTCTTTTTAGGTTAAGGTCAATGATGCTGTTCCTGTATCAACATCAGATTCAGATTTAAAGATTCCTGGTGTTTACTTAGTACATGACTTTGTCACTGCTAAAGAAGAGGAGGTCAAGGATAATCTTCTACTGTAATTTATGGGCACTTACCCAGTTTGTTCTTCTTCAATTTTTTATCATACGCACATATTCACTCTGAAATACAATGTACTCCTTTTATAGGAATTACTTGCTGCAGTGGATTGTTGGCCATGGCAACATCTTGCCAAAAGAAGAGTTCAGCACTATGGGTATGAGTTTCGCTATGATGTAAGTTCTGATTCACTATTAGAAATACTAAATACTGAATCAGCCTTCTGCCTTATTTGATTTTGATATTTTGTTTTCTTTTTCTTTTCCCGTCTACCTTCTCTCTTACAGATAAGGAACGTTAACACAAAGCAATACTTGGGCGATCTCCCGTCCTTTGTGTCTCCAGTACTTGACAGGATCAAAATGTTTCAAAAATTTGATTCATCTACAGATGTATGCCTGGATCAATTAACTGTGAGTAAACTCTAAACTCTTTCTACTTATGTTGTACTTCTGCTCGGGTTTAGCTCTATTAGGTGCAGATTTTCTCATTTTAATAGTGAACTCAAATTCTTGGCAGACTAACAAGAATTGTATTCTTTTCCAATGACAGGTCAATGAATATCCTCCTGGGGTTGGTTTGTCTCCACATATAGACACCCATTCAGCATTTGAGGGATCAATTTTCAGCCTTTCATTGGCGGGCCCTTGCATCATGGAATTCAGACAGTATTCAAAAGGTGTTTGGCTTTCAAGACATACCTCCAGTTGTGACACAGAGGAGCAAATATGTGATAATAGCTCAAATTTCTTGCGGAGAGCTATTTATCTTCCACCTCGATCAATGTTATTGTTATCTGGGGAGGGACGATATGCTTGGCATCATTACATTCCACACCACAAGGTATACTACTTGTGTGTATCTTTTATGGTCTTTGACAATCTTTTATAAAATCTATATGGAATGAATTAACTTATATATCTCTAATGAGAACTCAAAGAACAAAGCTTAATTATTGGTATGAAAATTCTGCGGACCACCTGAGAATTTTAATTGTTAAGTACTAATATATTTGCAGAACAATCAGAACTAAGGGTATAAGTGCTTGACAAATGAAAGCTTTGTGCATTATCCAGAAAGTCTGAACACTGAAACCCCAGAGATCTAGTGCCTTTATTTTTTGGACATGAACAAGGAAGCAAGCTTTGTGCACCTCAATTTTGTTTGAAGGAGTACACCACTTCTTATAATAATGTTGGCATGTATGTATTTTAATAGTTTGGATGCATTTGCATTTTAATAGTAGTTCGGTGTTGACAAGTGTATCACTGATTACATATATAGAGGGTGTTTGGTGGAGATTAAAATTAGATTTTTAGTGGATTGTGATAGAAGTTTTTGAAATGTGTGGTTGAAAAGATGTGGGATCCATGAAAAATGTGGTTAATATTGATTGTTTGACTTTGACTTAGATTAAAATCAGATTTTAATTCGGCCCAAACAGGCCCTAAGACAAATTATATCCTTTACAGTGGAAAAGTATGCTTTACCTTGTTTTTTATTTCATCGTGTATTTTTTAATTACTCGAAGTTAGATATGTTATTTGTCATGCAGGTGGACAAAGTGAACGACAGTGAAATCCGGAGGGGCTCAAGGAGAGTGTCCCTGACATTACGTAAGGTATGTGCATTCACATCGGCTTTGAATGTTCAGCTTCATTAACTTTTTTGTGCACATAACCTTGTAACAGAAATATGATGCATTGTATAATTTATTTACAATTCCTCTCCGGCTTATGCTCTTTGGAGAATGCCACTTACGACATACTTATGTATGTTCTAGCAATGAGAAAAATAAGAAAATCTCTTGCAAAAATAACAAATGGGTAAAACAAGGTGGGGAACAATGTAATCTTGCCCTTAGTTCCATGCTTTAATGTGGTTTTCTATACTTACTAATCTGGTGTATACATCCTTTATAAGGTATTGATGATCTGGCTCCCTTTCCTAGTTGTATAATTTTTTTCTTTCCCCATATGATGCAGGTCAGGAAAGGTCCTTGCCAATGCGAATTTCCTCATTTTTGTGATTCTCGAAATTAGGACGATTTTAATTCTAACAAATACTGTGACCGGCAGCCCTATGGAGGGTGGATACGGGGAATTTGAGTTCCAAGAGTATCCGATCTTCCCTTGTTGCAGAATTGCGATCCATATCATTGATTATGGAAAAGAGTTATTGTGATGATGGATGAGTGAAGAATTAACATCAAAAGAGGAAGCATTTCGTTCAGATTAACTTATTCAGCCCTCTCAAATGCCAAGATAACAATTACTTGACAAATATCACAGGGAATACGATATTTCATGTGTTTGTTGAAATGTTATTCTTGAACTTGTTTTGCCATTTGTTCTATATGCTGGCTTGTGACCTCATTTCATCAATTGTTTTCGTTTCTGAACAACAATTACCAGTTAAATGGTAGTATTTTACTGGTGGAATTGAAAAACCTTGCTGAACAAACTTGTTAGAATGTCCAAGACGACTTGCAAGCAACTTGATTCCCTTTCTGGCCGTTGCAAAAAAAAAAAAAAAAAAAGTTCAATTAAGCCACTGGAGTTCATTACAAACCATAACTGTTAACAATCAATTTCCATTCAGGATTACAGACTTGCCTACTCATTTATAATCAAAGCCTTAGCCCAGAAATCATGCGATCTCTTAGTGCATGTCTAATGCCCAGTACTACAAGGACTGTATATTAAAATAAATAAGATATAAGCATTTTTCTGCTTGTGAATAAAACCTTCAACCTGTTTTATGAATGTTGTTCGATAAAGAACGTACTCAATATCAAGGGGGTCTATAGAAAATTCAAATGCCTGTAAAAGAACAAAGAAAACAATCATGTGGATCCCAAGGGCAGTAATAAAATGGACTGCATAATAGAACTATTATGTGACAAAATGCCACAAATGTAACCAGCAAATCTACTCAATTTTCATGTTAACAGATGAACACAAGCAATTAGAGGCCACAGTCATTCTCATGTTCCATTAACATTGACAGATAGAAGGAACCCCGACTAACTTCAACTCTTCTCTCGATACGTGTTTAATCAAGTACCCATGGAAATGTCTTGAAGATACAAATACAAAAACTGCGTTTCATGTTCTTAAGATTTTAAGTTATATTCACTATCCTAGGCCAAGACAAGGAACACATACTGTGTACAAATTCCATTGGACCCCCCTTGTTGAAGGATATCAGTTGCAGGGTGTTCACATCTATGGTAATTCTACTTCCCGGCATTGTCTGTCCTTCCAGCAATGTATATTTATTCGCTTTCCAAATGCTAGACTTTTGTGAGACAAATTAGGACTCTGAATTACTCTGATCTCCTGCAACGGTTAAAGCAAACATTGGATTGGAGATAACCAAAAAGGTCGAAAGAAAAATTACATGAAATACAGAGGAGCAGTCAGGAGTCCAAACTATATGATGCTGTCATCATTACTACTAGTCTTCTGATTAGACCATGGGATACCTTCCCATCGTAAGACCATGAACACAGGATCACCTTTAATGACATTGGGAAAAATAATTATCTTCCTTGAGCACGGACAGTATTTGTATATTGGTTGCCAATTTCCATCAACACGATTTCAACAGAAGTAATTTGATTTCCGAATATGAGCATGTAGCTATTTTTACTTCACAATGCAAGAATCATATATGGTTGAGAAATATTGCTGACAAGAGTGATTATCAGGAACACTTACCGTGCATGCTTTTAATAAAGCAATCAATATCTGAGAAGCATATAGTTCTTTCAATCGAAGGAAAAGGTTGTTGAAATATAAAGAAAGATAAGTGGCAGCGGTCAGGATGATTTTTTGGTTTTGCAATCTCAACAAGCCTTGTGAATCCATCTCTATCATAACATGATTGTGCATTTTGACCAGCTACAGTGAGCCCTCGTTCCCAGGCGGAATTTAAAACCTGCAACAATGGGAAAAGCGCACATCCAATCTTTTAGTGTGAAAAGAGTGTTACCACCTCCAACCCTGGAAATTGGATACCATAAAATTCTAGCCCTTGTTATATTTTCTTAGGGTTTCGCTACACCCCGGTGTACAGCCCCCCTCACAATAGGGGGGCCCATGAATTTTTTACTGTATGTGGGTCCCCCTCTTTTGTGAGGGAAGTGTACACCGGGGTGTGTACAAATAGCAAAACCCATTTTCTTAAGAGCATGTATGCAGCCAGCAGCATAGAGTGTAAAAGAAGACGGATATACCACGACAGTAAGTCAGTAACTACCTGCCAACTCAAGCCTTCAGGATCTGACAAGGAATCATCAATTTCATGATATGTAACCTGCAATCCTGGGACAACAAACTTCATTGTCACGGAATGCTTTTTGAGGACCTCAAACACGGGAGAATAACCATCCTGGTTGGTAGGGTTATAATATCCAGCTGTGAGCTCTGCAGCATGGCTTGTTGTCTTGTACCACCAATACACTGCTGGAATCTAAATAAAAAAATAAAGTATTTTGCCATCCACCAAAAAGAGAGAGAGAGAGAGAGAGGAGACGGGGTGGGGGTGGATATGCCTGGAAGTAACAAAATCACTCGAGGTTTGTGGGAAAAGTACCTTAACAACTATTTGTGTCCCCTCAAATGCAAGGTTCGCAAGGGAAAGAACATTATCAGCATGATCAATTAAGACCTGAGTGTACCAATGGAGGAAGAAACGTCCATAGTAGCTATCATAATCACCACGCTCACAGAAAAATCCAGTTTCATGTGGCTTGGAATTATAATAACCAGCATTATCAGGCCCTCGGGCCCAGAAAGAGTGTCCACGGAGTTTTGCAGCTTTAAGAAGATTTTGCAGAGAATATTTATCATAACACTGGAAACAAAAAAAGAACAAGGGAACAGGTAAAATTATAGAGATCACATGGTCAAATTTCATAATAAAAGCATGCACACTTGCACTATTCGACAGTCAACAATATGAGAACTCTAGAATCCACCTTGTCATAGTGATGCAAATTTTCAGCCAATCAAAGTGTAATAATCAATATAATAATTATCAGCACCATAGGCACATCAGTGAGCGCACATCAAATGTTGAATGAATCTTGTAGCTTGGGTTTCATTTAATTTTCTTCACCCCCCACCCCAAAAAAAATTAAACAAAGATCATGGAAAGTCTTCCCCAATTTGCCCACATTTTTTCTCAATTTCTCTGACCTTTAACAGATGCACAATAAAAAAAAAAAGAAACTGAGATTTATCAGATACCTGAAACTCACCAATACCAGGGTATCTCCAACCCATCCTTTCTGAAAAAGAAGGGTACTTTAGCTCCCCTGAAGCTCCTAGTCCAATTTCCACAGCAGAAATGAGGCCATGAGCGAATAAATCATCAAACTCAGTTCGGAAACTTCTCATGAAATCAAAATAGACCTGCATTTTCAGGATTCTTGAGTGAGTACCGAATTAACTGAACAAAGATAAGGTTTCGGAAAAAATAACTTCTCTAAAGGAAACTGCCATATGTTAATGCTAATTGAATGGCAAATTCTTTTTTGATAGAATTGAATGGAAAATTCTAATGGATGAATAGAATAAACATATGGGAATCTTGTTAGGTGATAAGAAGGAGTACTTAGGTAGCATGTAACAACCACAGAACTGAAAAAGCAAACAACTGGAGGCACATCGGTTGAGGTAAAATTCTCTGAAAGAATAAGGCGACGTTTGGTTCGCTGCCTTCAGTTTTGTAAAACACAAAAACTTGTTTAGTTTGGTGTTTTTGAAAACAAGATTAACATAAAATTGAAAACATATTTTTGACATTTTGAGTGTTTTCAGAACATGGAAAATGAAAGTAATCTAACTTCCTTGATTCTAGAAATGATGAAAATTCATGGAAGACTGATAAGACTCTCTTCGAACTCTTCTGTTCGCAAACAGTGGTTGACCTTGAACTCTTTAGCTCTATTTTAATTTGGTCCATGTTTCATAATTTTCGTCTAATTTTGGTCTTTTTTTGTCCTAATCTTCCACATATTGATCTTGAAACTTCCAAGAACTTCCATGTTGGTCCTTGAACATCAATAATCTTCCGAAATTGGTCATCCACGAGTTTTGAAAATGTGAAATTTGATCCCCAAACTTTCGATAAATTTAATTTCACTCTAGAAACTTGTGACTTTTCTCTGTTCAATTCGGTTAGCCTTCAATAGCTCCAATTCACTCCAATAAGGCTAAAAATCGTCTTTTTTGCTCCAAATGACTCCAAGTCCAGGTTTTACCTCCACACACTTCTTAGCTTGTTTATTTCTCTTATAATTCATAATCACCTTATGTAATTCCATGTTCACGTCATTAATTTTTATAATTTTATTTCCTATTTTTTGCCAAGTCAATTTGTTATTTCTTTTGTAGAGGGAAATTTTCTTCTAGGATTCACATACTTTAAAATGTATATATTACTTGATAATATATTAACATAAAATTATTCTATTTTATTGAAAAATAAAATTCATTGAATAAAACGTTATAAAAACAATTTACAAAAATTCCAAACCAAATGTGTTTTCCAATTTTTTTTTGAGAAACACTTTTTCAGAATGACAAATCAAACGCATTTTCGGCAATTTAAAAACACTCTCAAAAACAAAAAACTGAAAATAAATTTGAAGCTTAAAACTGAAATGCAAACCAAAACAGGGCCTAAATTTTCAGTTGATGTGGATGTTGTTAATTGTGCATCTGTTGCTTTCTCCCTCCTTTTATCAATTTCATGTTTCCTTTTACCCCACCACTAATGGTAGATGGCATTTGATATATGACTTCTTTCTTTAAGAAGCAAATAATTTTTTCTTTGGCAGTTGACGAAAGAAAAAGCAAAAGCCAAGAAGCAATAAATCCTCCTTTAGACTGAAGAAAGGGCTACCAAATACGGTGCATGTTAAATACTGAAATCTAGATGGGATTAAATAGTCACAAAGTTAAGAAATCAAATTGAACTGAAGGTCAACAAACTAGTATTAAAAATGCAAATATATTAGGAAGAATTAAAAAGCTAAGTCAGTTCTTGTTGGGATAAGCAAAACAATAAGTTATTACCTCTATGCCAGTTCTTCCCCTTAATACTCTTTCTTTGTCAATGCTCCAAGAAAGGCATTCAGTATTTCTTCTTCCTTCACGATCCGTGAAATATATATCCTGATTGCTTTTTCCAATCTCCAAAACCCATTGGGGGAGGGTTATATAGATACCACCAGAATCATTTCCTCCATATTCATGAAATGACATTACAACCTTCAGAAAAAATTAGACTTAGTTAAAGTTGCTCCCCAAGGAAATTCTCAGCAGAATAAATTACTTCCGTCAATCCTATAAGAAATTTACTTGAACAATAAAAGGATAAAAATTGAAACTCACAAATGAACGCTTAAAGCATTGTTAGATCACATGCACAAAAGACAATCTTTAAAGACAATTTGTAGAGATACATTTGGAGGATTGCTGGCATTTAAGGGCCACAACAGCATTTTTAGCCCCTGTTTGTCCCCCTTTTAAATCAAAACTCTTTAATTCTCACTCATTTTTTGGATACATTCACACAATAAAATATTTTGCACGTAAACCCAAAACTTTTCCATACTTTTTAACCACACATTCTCCAAAAAATCACTATTCAAAATATCATTTTTTCAAAATAATGGCCATCAAATAGGGGCTTAATATAATGAGAGCTTTTAGTTTATACCAAGCAGAAATTAGTGATATAAATAAAAAAAAATCATTAAATCCTTATTACCTGCAACTTAATGTCAAACTCTCGAATGATGTCAAACAGTTGCCTGTATCCTGACCATTTGTACTTCTGTGGATTCCATCCTTCAACAATGCCCCACCAGCAATCTACAACAACGCCATCAACACCCAAAGATTTCAAATGCTGTAACTCATCCTTAATTCCTTCAGGATCCACTAGCTGGCAGAAATTGTCGATTAAGCCAGTCTGCCAGAATTGAGACACTCAGAATAAACCAATACACATATGGAGCAAGAATATTCATGGAACAAAAGGAAGAAAGTAAGATAGCATGAGGTAGATATTTAAATTCATGTTACGTAAGGGAATTGGAGGAGTAGATAAACCACTTACAGCTAGTCTCACGTAAACAGGGACATAGAAGGTTCCCGGAAAGCCACTTCTATGCTCCCCGCAATGAATATCTTGCACAATCTGCACAACTCGATCATGAGCTTGAGAATTATTCATTATGCACAGAATAGAAGCACCCAGAAGTATCTATGTCAGGTCTTTATCATGTGCACAGATGGAGGACGGGAAAGATAAAGAGAGAGAAATAAGAACAAAAGAAAGAGAAGAAATGAATAATTGAGAGAAAAATATAGGGAGGAATTCAGTATCAGCATATATATCAAATCAATTGACTACATGGTTTAGAAATGCCAGTCCAAATACTCAAATAACAAAGATTTTTTTTTCTAAATTAGAATTAATAATTACTATAAGAACCTAAATCAAAAAAAATAAAAAATAAAAAAAAATACAAACTACTTTCTATCATAGATAGAGTACATATTTTGGTAAGTCTTCAACGAAAACGAGACGTGAAATTGCACATCCAGTCAGAATAAGAATCACTGCACTGCAGATAACTCCACCAGAAGTCATCATTCAGTGAACAGCTTAGATGGAACACGAACAATACAGTGATAACACCAGTAATTAATTGAAAGATACGGATAAAACCTCCATGCATATCTTTCTTTTTGAAGTATTTAATAAACAGAAAAAAAACAAGAAAGAATTTGGATGACTAGATAGCCACATTAAGTAGGGTTTTTTTCACCGTGCAGCACCAAAAATTTACCAATCTCCAGTAAATTATCAGGAAAAAAAAACTTAAAATCACCTGTTCTGCTCCAAAACATTCAGGTGAATCGATGGCACTAGCACTCGTACATTTATCAAACTTTGTATCCCTCTCTGCAACAACAACAGAATCTAGAGATGCCGGCGATAGAGTCTCATTGTTTCTGAGATCTGATGGCTGACAGTCTACCGAAGATCTTGTGGAACAATTTTTCCAAGAGCTAGAAGATAGTGGGCTTTCAACTGACCTCACTGGATATGCTCCCTACACAAATTGGCAGCAAATTCCTCAACAATCGAATTATAGAAGATCTGCACAAGAATGTAAAGGCAGCAGCCATCGAAGCACGGAATTAATTTTCCATATGCCTATATAAGTAGTTCAACTAGTCATACTAACTGAACATAAAAAAAAATCATGGATTCAGTAGGTATACCAAATTTATCATTTTGAAGATAAGGGCCAGGAGATGAGATTATTTGGCTTGTGATGGTAAAAAGTAAAGCTACAATGTTAGAATAATCTGTTGTACAGTCCTACTTGTCATCTTTAATGCAAGAATACAATATACATTTTATGATTAGTAGGATTAAATCTTAATATGCCATTCTAAAGGATGTATGGCGGGAGATTTCCCACAAACGGGGCATCTAAGAATTGAGAGAACCTTTGAAGGTGGCCCCTCTTGTCAGGACAGCATATAAGAAGCATCGACTAAGGGCGAATAGGAACCAATGTAGTGTATTGGTAGATAATATGTAAGGAGAAGGGAGAATCAGTCAATTGTTTGCTTTTTCACAGCAATGTAGCCGCAGAACTATGAATGTACATAATGGATTTCTGGATTTCAAGGAAAACATAGAGTTCCACAAGATCACTTCTTCCATCAAGAAGAGAGGACAAGATACAAAACTGAGACGAAGGAATGGGTGGTGGCTTCAATGTTTAATGTTGACTAAAATAAATAACAAAATTAAATTACTTTTATTTAGATTAATAGGATGTGTAAGGTCAGGCACATACCCAACACTTTCACCCTCTAGTCTTTCTGGAGCATGTACCCAAAGCTTCCTTGAACATGTCCCAGCATTAAAAACAAAACTTTTCAATTTTTATAACTTTTAAGTTTAAATGGCGAAGAACATTTTTCTCACAAAACAAGAAAAACTTAAGAATCTAGTAAAGCATATCAAAGCAAAGAAAATAAGAATAAGTTAATAGTTACAGCTCTTGTTGGTTTTGAATTCATTGAAACACTGCTAGAGTCAATAATGTTCGCTGGGTATTTGAAACAATCGCACACTAAATCAATAACTTGCAATCCCCCAACTCTTCTAAAGCTCTCAGGGAAGTTTATCATTAGGTAATGGAACCTAAAGGTGCAATTAATTTAGCAAGTGAAAACCATAAAATCTACATTTGACTAAGTAGGTAGTTTTAAATTTGAACATCATAGCAAAAAGGACAACATTTAAGAACTTTCCAACCTTCAAACTATGGTAAGACAGTAATGAAGATACATCAATAAATTCTTCTACTCTCCTCTCTCCAATTACTATCTAGATAGGAAGATCCATCTCCTGCAAGGTACTCATATATCATAGATTTCAAAATTTAAACTAATACAACGAAAATGGCAAAGATCTTAATAACCAGCGACCCACACATCCCTAATTTCGTAATTCTTGTTCTTAGCAATTACCATAGCACAAAAAAGGTCTAAAAATTGTCACTTCCCCAACTACTAACTAACGCAACACAATTCAAAGGCCATATAAACCTAGAAATAAACAAAGCCAGCTAAAAAAAATCCCTTTCCTTTTCTAGTTTCAAATATTCTCACCATATTGGAAGTATTGTTATTGTAATGATTAATGTTAGGAAGATTAGCAGCAGGAGGAGGAGGCGGGGATTGTCTGTAGGTAGTGCCGTCAATCTCAACAATCCACCCGGCCTCGCGGGCGAGGGCCGCGAGCACATCATTCATGTCAGCTCGGGCAGCCAGCGGGAAGTTGCCATACTGGCGGAGACCGGCCAACATACGGCTGGTGATGGCCCGCCGGTGGCGTTCTCTCAGCTTAGTCCGCTCCTTTTCCTTTTCCCTTTCTTTCCTGCTTTTTGGTGGGGCAGTGCTAGTGGTGGTTGTATTAGTATTATTAGACATTGTGGCTGCGAAGCCACGAGGGCGGCGAGTTGGTTGAGTTTGGACTGGGTGAGGTTGGGGATGGTAACGTTGGGTGGTAGCGGCGGAGGCGGACTGTGGCAGTGGTGGTGGTTGGGGATCCAGATCTTGAGGAGTGGCGATGAAGGAGTGGTCAGGGTGATTCATGCTGTTTGCTTTGCTGTTCATCTTTCCTTTCATTTTTCACTGCTTTGCTGTTTCTTCAAATACTTTTGCACGCTCTCACACTTACCCAAACAGTAACTTGGGGACGACTCCTGTCAAAGAAATAGATTATGGACCAACTTGCATCTCTGTTAATAGGTTGGGACTAACTTTGCAGTCTGCCCTTTTCCTTTACAGCTATTGGTAGATCTTCGTTACCGTATTTGAATAATAATTATCGCCGCAACTGGGGGAGTTCGAAGCAAGAATATAAGCGTAAAGAATCCATCTTCAGTTCTGGTATATAATTATTTCTTTTCTTTTTAAACGCTATGGAAATTTAGATGATTGTGTATATTTTCTAATGGAAGTCATGCTGCACGACAACTGTTTGACGAAATGACTCTGCTGTTTTTCCGATTTCATTTTCCACAATGCATTTATTCTAGTGCTGTAAATCTTAGTGCTTGCAGTTGGGGAAGAAAAACAATGGACTGGGGTTTTGTGCATAGAATTTGGGACAAATGGGCATCCAACAACGTGGGTTATTCAGGTGTGCATGCTTTTAACACTCCAATTTTAAGTGTTTCTTTTATCATTTTGGAATGAAATGAGATAATCAATTTCCAGGTCTACCATTGAAGGGTGCTTTGTTAATTAACTATGATCCTACCGGACCTGGTCGCCTAGTATCTACCGTGTAAGAGCAAATACAATTTTGCTGCCATTTTGAACAGTGTCTTTATAAATATTGCTGCCTTTGTTTGGAATTCAAAAGGAATCTTCATGGTTTTCGTAGAACATCTTGTTTTCTAAATTTATGTCCTGCATTATTGCAAGAACTGTTCATACTCTGATTGTAGTATGTGGTTGGTTTTCGGCCCCCACCTTCTAGGGGTTTAGAACTTAACTTCTTTCTTTCGAGAGGCCACTTGAAATTCCCATGGAGGCAGGGTTCTAGGGAAAGAAGTTTATGGTTGATTACTAATTAGACTAAAATGGCTTATTATTGGGTCAATGCCTTCGCGGTTAATGGGTCAAATTGTAAGGTTAGGGGTTGCATGGCATGGCTTTGAAAAGGAATAAAGCTCTGATAATTTCTCTGCTAGTTATAGGGTATTTAGCAGAGATATTGGTTGAGGGAAGACTAACGAATAAATGAATGGTTAGCTATAGAACCAAAGTAGAAACCTAATTACCTATGTACCAATACAGGGTGAGCTAGATGTGGTAGATGATCAGTGATTTCTTACCACGGTAACTATTCCCAATTTCTAGGATCTCTTCCAATGAGGTGCAAGTTCTTGAGCTTATATATAATTTTTTATTTTTCCTACTGTTGTTTTTGTTTTTTGGGCGAGGGGGTGGTGGCAAAACTGAAGATTGAAAGAAGAATAAAAGTTTAGCTTATACTTAAACATTTTGAAGTTGCACAGAGATCTTCCCAACGCCCTCTCATATGGATTTGTCATGTATCACTACAATTTACATTTTCATGACTACAATTTACATTTTTTTAATTCTATTTACAAAGGCACCGTTCAATTTTTATAATGAAAGAGCTTGTGGTCAAAGGCAAAAGCTGATTACCAGCTTGCAACTCATGATATGATATCTTCACGCACAATGAAAAAATAACAGAGTGATAGCTTGAGGGTCAAAAACAATTTTTTTTATGGATATTTGGATCTGTATTGGCTCCTTGAATAATGATTAGAATTTTACTACTATTGCTTTCACTTTTTCCATGACAATAGAGACAAGGAGAAGGAATAAACTTTATTTTTGAGGTTTTTTTGGAGAGTTGTGCATAGGTAACATTTTTCTCCTTAAAATAGAAGTATGTGTTTGCAATGGGATTTTAAGAACGTGAGGTGGCAGGGATGATGTCTCTTCATCTCCAGTTCCTTGCCTAATAGCTGGCGTAGGTACCTCTCGCGCTGCTAAGATTTTCCAGAGTAAACAAGAAAGGTTGTGATAGTTTCTTTGATTATTTTGAAGAGATTTATGTATCCTGATAAAAAGTATCACGTGGAGAAAGCTTTCCTCAAAGGTGGTTAGGATCCAGTTTAGGACAAGTTGACTTAGATGCGAATGGTTTTCTTTCTTTCTTCTCTTTTTAAGGATAATTGAAGAAAAACCCAGATCTCTAAGCAATTTAAGAGTCTACATAATTGGCCTTTAGTTTTAAGTATGCACTATTTAAGTAACTTGGGCAAATCTTCACCTCCAGAAATTGCATTTTATTCCCTTTTTTTTATTGTATTATTTTGTGTATTGACTGGAAGAGCAATTGGATCTTTCTTCTTGCTTCCTTCTTTATTTATTGTTAGGTCCAACCCAGTGCACGAGGGTGTCCCCAACATACAAGTGGAGAGTGTTCTGTGACTTGAAACCTCTGCCTACACAAAGCAGCAACTCATTTTATACGAATGCTCACCTATCTAATTATATATTTCTTGGCATCTGGTTGCTGAGTTAAACAACTGCATGAAACCCTATCACTTGCGTGTATGCTTCAATATCGTATTTCTGCCAACTTCTGGGAGCACCAGTTTTAAAGCTTCATCTCCTTTCTTGTAGAGCAGAGCAAGAGGGCATACAAGCTGATCCAATTGAACTTAGTCAGTTTGTCGGTTATGTTAAGAGAAACAAACTTCAGACAGAGAGCTTCTTTATTGGATCAAACCAATGTGAGTTTCATTTCAGTAATGAATTTGTTGTCAACTTTACTTATGTTAGTTTTCAGCAGCAGTTTTCTTGTGTCTTTTCTTTCTAGTTAAATTTATGCTTGGTAATGATTTTCACTGAAACTGCACTTCTGGCATCTCATATCAATTTTTGTTGTGGAGAACTTGTATACTCATTCTGGTAACTTACTGTTAATTGTGTACATTATTTTGCTAATTGGGGGTTGTTGCTGTTAGTCATCGAAGATATCAGGCTGAAAATTTTATGATGATTGTGAATACTGAATATTATGATTTTGTTTTGGGGCCAATTTATGATGAGTCTGTCATGGAATGAGCCTTGCGATTGCAAGGTCCATTATTTTGCTTTTCGCTAAGCTTGGTCCCCAAAATTTCTCACTCAGTTGAACTCGAGTCCTTTCCTATATGTATCTTTGGTCCTTCATCTTTCAATCTTTGAACTTCAATCCTCGTCATCCACAGTTGTCTGTAATCGATCCGTTTTGAGATCTGAAATTTTACAATTAAATCCCCGAACTTGCCAAATATTGAACTAAGCTCTGAAACTTGTAAATTTCCTCCAATTGCTACCTTAATTCATCTTATTAGTCATGTGCAATGCCCAGTGGAGGGAGGCCCTTAATGTTGTCTGTGGATGTTGCACACGTCGTAGTCTCAAATAGCCTTTGCATAGTTTACGAATTCTGCTTAGAATTGTCCGCCTAAGAGAATCGCGTGTTTACTCGCTCAGTCTCGGGCGAAGGAAGCTTTTAGGCCATTAGTCTTTCTTTTGATCGATGGTCCGGTGGATCTTCAATTTTTCCCAATCAACTCCAATTAAGCTCAAAATTGTCTTTATTCACGCCAATTGCATTTAGGTTTGGATTTTTCTACAATTAACAAAATTACACTAAATTAAGTAGATAACAGCTTATATAGTAATAATTTGTCAAGTAGAAACACGCTTATCACCTGCCATGCTGGTTTTTACCAAATTGTTATTAAGAAATACAGTGGTGGTAAAGGCCTCCCACCAGAAGTCAAGTGGCACACTAGATTGTGCAATGAGTGTAAGGCAAAATTCTACAATGTGTCTATGTTTTCTCTCGACCTCCCATTTTGTAGATTCATGTGAGGACAAGGTGTCTAAAGTGGACCCCAATTTTTTTTCTGAATAAGGCTTAAACAGCCTATACTCCCCCCATCAGATTGTGAACATTTCAGTTTTGTCAGAAATTGCCTCTCAAAAAGGGACTGAAATTGCACAAATATAAGAAAACGATCAGATTTATTTTTCAGGGGAAAATTCAGGTGTACCTGGTAAAGTAATGAAATGGGCGTAGTATTTATAAACCTTCCTTGGACATAGGGACAGGACAACAAACATCTGTATGAACAATTTCAAGGGGACAAGTAGTTTTATACAAGGAAGAGGTAGAGTTGGCATGACTACAAAAATTGACCTTATTTGCAAGTGAAATAGAGACTTTACATTTTTGAGATTGGACTTGAAATTGAAGGACTAGGGTAACCTAGCCCTCTATGCCAAACACTATCTGTGTTGGCATTAATTAAATTGGAACTTACAACCAAAGGAGTGGAACTCTCTTGAGATCTAGAAGGATCCTGTTTTTAGTTAGAACTCGATGAAGTTTTTTTTATCTTCTGTTACATAAACTATCTTTAAAATGGTAAATAATTACCAGAGTTTATAGAAAGACACGGTGATAATTTTTTAACTTATGTCACATAAACAATCTTAAAAATGATAAATAATTACCAGTCTGATAGAACGACACGGCGATAATGCCTTGTTATGTTACAAAGAATCTAAAGTTTGTTGGATAAAATTTTGTTACAGATCTTGTCACCTCAATTCATGAGAGTTGGTTTGGTGCAAGGTGCATGGACACTTCAAAACCTGCTGGTGAAGGTGCTATTGTGATGCAGACGGCAGCATTTCTCTTGGTTGGACTGTAAGTATCCAAAAATTCTGCTAAGAAAATTCTGGAAAATAATCAACTTTAGACTTCATCTATGATGTGCATGCAGTGATGCTTGTTCCTTTCCTTTTTGTTGCATATAATGGAATTTTACAGATACGAGGGCTCTATAGGATCAGCATCTCGTGCAATGGCGGCTGTTGATCAATTTGCGTGGCAATTAGGACGAAGAAACCTTTGATGTTTCTCCAACTACATTGGGGATGGAGGGCCGATATTACTGATCAATGAAAGTTGAACTTCGAAAGAAGCATAGTTGTTGCCAAAAAAAATAATTTCGGAAAAAATGCACAATGAACATCCCAATGTGTATTATAAACTCTAGTGGTGTACAATGACCACTGCAAGGCCATTGGCCACTTGATACTTAGAGGAAATATTGACTAAAAATTTGTGTGTGTTGAATTTTTCAAATTGATTCTCTTGAGCTTAGAATTATTTTTAGGGGACCATTTTATCCATCAATGAAATTGACAAATTTGATAAATAATTTAAGGTTCTAATAATTAGCTTAAATTAAGAGCTATGATTATTTGTTAAATTTGTAGGAGGAACGGGGTCTCCCCTCTATTAGAAATGAATTCATGGGTTTAACACTCTTTCTATAGATAAAAGATCATCTAGCAAATAACGTGGCGTGTCTAAATATAATAGAAACACTAGCAACATATATGATAAGTTTAAACAATGGGATTAAAAATAAGAAATCTTTTTCTTCTTCACATTGGATGATCTATAAGTCCTTACAAGTGCATATTTTTAGGTTTGAAAATACATATAGCCCATGGAGCAATTTGTATGGAATTTTAAGCAAAAATTTGATCGTTATAGAGTACAAACGGTTCCATACAGTCGCAAAAATTGACTGCCTTAAAAAATCTATTACAAGAAGTGCCTTTGTACTATATTGTAGGGTGTGGGGTTTTTGTGTAGAGTTATTGAAGTAATATCATGTGCATGAATTGGAGAAGACAATCAATTATTATGGCTGTATGGGACCGTGTGTATTTTATAACGGTCAAATTTTTACTTAAAACTCGTTAAAAATCTCTCCCAAACAGGGCTATAGAAAATTGAATTAACTATTGTAACCTATGAATTTAACATGATAGTCAAAGCCATTTAAATATGAATAGAAATGGTGATCATTCATCCAAGGTAGGTATTCTATTGAGGTTACTTAATGTTTAATTCTATGGAGAGGTTGTATATATCAACTTCATTACAATTAATATAACAAATTCCATATTATCCAACCAAAATGTTATAATTTTTTGTGGCTTTTAATTTTTCTCTCCACTTTTGCCAATCTGTTGACGGCTGCCACAAAGACGCGACTCTGCCTAGTAAGAGTAGTTGTTCTAAAAAAATTAGAATGATATTTTTTAAATTTGGAAGTATTACTAAAGAGACAGGCTGACTAGCCAACTGAGCACATCTGATGTTTTTTACTTTAAAATATTTTGGACAGACACGACGAATAAAAAGCATAATGTGATTTGATATTTGTACTTTATTGTGTATCAAGCTTCCTAGGTCTGACAAGGTACAAATTCTAATAGCATCAATTGGTAAAATGGATAATTAGAAGAAATAATATGAAAATTCTTGTATATTGCATAACTTGGTTAAAATTTTGACATATTACCAAATTATATGACTTGCCTTATGTTGGACATCTACCTAAGTTACATTACTTATTCACCATTTATTTGTTTTTTTTACAACTTTTAACTCAACATATCTAGCTAGTTTATTTACCTAACTTGTAGTAATAGAAAATCCACAATAAAAATCGAAGAATTGCGTTCGTGGTGATTACGCATCCTCAAGAAAATACTCTTTTTTAGCTTTTGCAGGCTAGAAATCACCTTATGATAAATGGCATTGATATAGATATTTGAGACATATTCAATACATAGTATTAGAAAACTTGGACAAGACGCTGATTTCCACGAATACTTACCAAAAATGGTTGAATTAACTAGAAAGTTTAATGTTCTTTGTGCAAGTCCAAACTACAATTGGCAATTTTCAAATTTATAATTAGCAAGTTTTTTTAGTCAAAATCATGTCCTAATTGAATTGTATTAGGAGTTCATCAAATTGTAATCAAAGTTAAAATAAGAGTTATTGGGTCCTAATTATAGCAAAAGAGTTGAAATTGGTAATATAGGTTTTGAAGGAGTCCAAAATATCCAAGAAGACCACATATGATCATTAGAATGCAATTAGAAGTCTAAAAAGTGATAAAAAAGCCGCGCAAGTTATGCTCCAAATTCTCTGTCGCAACTTGCGACGCATTTTTCACATTAAAAAATTGGAATTTGGATAAGACTACTTTAGAAGAATTGTAGCTTATTGAATAAGTTTTTCAATGCATTTTGAAGCACCTCAATCAGACATCGAGAGAAAAAATTATGATAAAAATAACTAATGACTGCTCATATGCTGCTCGCATGTCGCTGGCCTGAAGCTCGAGCGATGTGATTATCCTAAGAACAATAATATTTGATTTTCAAGCTGATTTTGAGTTCATCTCATCCCAAACACTACCCAATATAAATATACACCCTATAGGATGTTCAAAAGTGTGTTGAATCATATTTTTTTTTTCACAGAGATCATTACTTTGAAAATCCAAAACACATTTATTAATTTCAAGATTCAACCACCATATTATTTGAGCCATATATTCATCCGAGCTTTGATTTGCTGATCGAGTCATATTGTTTCACATTAAACCATAAATCAAATCACACAAAGATTGTTTGATCAAACACCAAACCACCTAATCCACCATAAATAAATCAATACCAGGGATCGAGAGCTGTTGTAAAAGTACAAATTCAGGAGAACTAATGTGAGGTACCAGGAGTCAGGAAGATGTTCATAAGGCTTATGAACAGTTGTTCCACGAGAGTCTTAGGGTGAAAAGGACCAATAGAGTTGTTTTTAAGAAGGTTAATGAAGTTGAGCTAGGGAGAGAAAAACTTATATCTGACATTCAAAAGTTCACCAAAAACATTAGTAAGTTGAATGCAGTGAATGAATCAATAGAGACTAAGGTTAAGACCTTTATGACTAACCTTGAGTAGTCCACTAGAAGCATTAGTGAGTTGAGAGTTGTGAAAGAATCCTTGGATTCTAAGGATAAAATTCTTACGAGCATTTTAAAACTCTCACTTTGATACCTATGTACTTGTAAATATCACATGCTAAATGTTTACAGTATGGTTATATAATTTCGATAGTTGCTATTATTACTATGTTTATATATAATTTCAAGATCCCTACAAATTTATCATAATGCTGTTTATACACAACAAAGAGGCTTAGACATAATCTTAGAACAATCAATTGAATATGAAAAATGCTATTCATCCCCAGTCTATGTGGATGTGAATGATTGGTTAAATGATAGGTGAAATTAAATGACTTATTTAATTTCACCTATCATTTAATGTCATATTAACGCCACATAGATTGAGGATGCATCCCCAGTGGGAATGAATAGCATTTCTCATTGAATATTGATTGATACTTGTGAGCAAATAAACAAATATCTGATTCAATGTTTCGATATAGTTTTCTTAAATGCATTAATAAGCGTATTAATTGATGCTTTAAATGCATAGCAAAGATATGTTTGTTGATAACTGAAACACATCAATTACACTATTAATTCGATTTATCTTAAATAAGAGAATTTATATGTATTGTAATTTATAAAATGGTTATAAGTATATTGATGCAGCGGAAAACAAAAACTTTGGAGGCAACACATAGGCGTCATTTTAAGTACTAAGCCAAGGAGAAATTCTTTGAATTCTCAGAGTAATATCGACCCAAGGTATGTTCTCGAGGGGTTTAGAGTTTCAATTTGAACGTATATAGGAACTGATTATATGTGTGTGTGTGTATATTTCATAACGTGGATATTCTTTCATTATAAAAGAATAAAATTATTTTTGTAAATGAATATATGTTTTTGTTAAGCAACTTGCAGAAATCTTACTTACTATTGTCCTTATTTTTATGTTTTTATTATCTTATATTCAATAAATAGTTGCTATGACTTTTAATAAGTTTTTCTTACAAATTGCAGAATTTAGTAGTTACCATTATGAAAAACACAATCGAGTCTCTAATTTACTGTGTTTAGATGGCCTCTTGAATTCTTGAATTTGATCAGATATATTTGTACAATTTTTTGTGCATGAAAATTAACTTCTTCTTCTTTTTTGCTATGGAAATTGATTTAATATACTTAGTGAACGGAATTGAAAACTAAAATTGAAAGGCCTCATTTTATGTTGATTGCCCAAGAATAATGTAAGGCCTTGTCTGTTTCTGCTTTTAATGAAAATTCGGAACGTAGTAGCTTCCATTTTTGACCCAACTGCGAGAGAATTGGTCCCACTTGTTTGAATATAACGATAAAAAAAAAAGCCATTTCTTCTGATTTTAATTGAAACCAGACAGGCACTAAATAGTTTATAAAGATTTAGTAACTCTAATGTAACTCGTACTTGACAATATATGTATTTTTTGACAATTTTGGTCTACTTAGTACACGTCTATGTCGTTGGAGCTAGCAGTCCGACTTAAATTCATACAAAAAGTTAGCATTAATAATGTTGTGGGAAGACTGCTTGAATTTTTATCATATAAGAGAAACTAAAAGATATATAAATTAAAGAACAATATGTGCAACTTAAAATACAATTGCAAGGTGGTCATTGCTGATTCACACGGGATTTAATTTGTCCCATGCTACTCGAATTATGTTACGAAAATTAAACTAATGTTCTTTATGTTTTCTTTCAGATTTTCAAATTAACTTCTTAAAATCCTTGTAATAAAATGGGCAGTATTTCTTTATCTCGAGGATTGTTTATAGCCTCTTGTGACGTTCATTATAACAATTATTCAACTCGAAGATGGAATAGAGCTCACATTTTGGGAAGTGCGGTAAGATTTGTTGATGAGGCACCATACAATATTCTACACATTTTAATTGATCCACAAGTGGTTCAACAACTAGACTCGTAGATTTCATATAAATATAATGTGCATTGAAAGACGAAAATCTTTTACACATTTTGCATCCGAACTTGTAGTGCAGAATGGAATTTCAAGATCAGGTTACTGGATAAACATGTCCCTACTGATATTTCTATTGGTTGTCATCAAAACAGAAGGTTTCCACTTTATTAGTGAAGTGCCCAACCCTATTAACATAACATTTATTGAGAGTGCTGTATCGAAAGGAGCAGGTGTGACTATACAAATTAAAGCAGCTACTTCAAAAATAAATCAGCAACTTTCTTCGTTATTATTTGCTAACATGTATACGATCTCATGTGGTACAGTTTGCTTGGATGGAAGCCCTCCGGCTTACCATTTTGATAAGGGATTTGGAGATGGAATCGACAACTGGTTGGTTTATCTTGAGGTTAGTCCACACAACCACAAGCTCTATAATATTCCTAAATTCCGTCCCGCGTTTCCTTGGTGAAATTCCTTGATCCCCTTTAAAAAATGGCTATAGAATCATTAACGTTTCTATTTCCAGAAGAGATTTTTTCCCTCAATATGAACTTCCCTTTTTTTTTTTCATTATATCTTTAGGGTGGTGGATGGTGTGAAACAGAAAGTAAGTGCAAAGCTAGGGCGCTTTCTAACTATGGCAGTTCCTTTAGAAAGCCAAAAATTTACTATTTTGCAGGGATGCTAAGCAAAACCCAAATGATCAATCCTGGTATTCATATCATTATTGTTCAACTCCAATTGTCTCTAACTAATTTTCTGCCACTAATTTTCCTTTTATCTGATTCCAGATTTCTACAACTGGAATAGAGTATTTGTTAGATACTGTGATGGTTCATCATTCGCAGGAAATGTCGAAGCAGTTAATCCGGTACCTATTTTCTCATAAAAAACAATGCTTATCCATATGAAAAAGGGAAATGCCATTTGTACAATCCAAAGTGTACATCATGCTTGCATTGGCTTTGTTTTTAAAAAATTGTTGGAGGGAAAACTTTTTTTTTTTAAAATTATCGAATACGTGTACACCAAGCATGACCGTATGAAAAATTATATTTGAGAGTAATTTATGTCATCATGGATTCTTATTCTTTAAGCGCTTCGCTTTAATTTGATCCATGACAGGATACCAACCTTTACTATAGGGGTGCAAGGATTTTTGAGGTTGTGATGGAGGATTTGTTGGAAAAAGGGATGAAGTATGCTTCGAATGTATGGCCAACTAAATAATCCCCGTCCCCAAAAATAGTATGCAAATTATGTCCTCGCACTAACAGCATATTATATCAGGCTATACTCACTGGTTGTTCAGCCGGTGGATTGGCTACAATTCTGCATTGTGATCGCTTCCGAGCTCTAGTACCTGGTGCTAGTAGAGTGAAGTGCATCTCTGATTCTGGTTACTTTATCCATGCGTAAAACTCGTAAACTAAATCCTGGCACTGATTGTTTATCCTAAATTCATCCGAGTTTTCAGCGCTCACGTATGTTGTTTTTTTTTTTTTTGGGTGCTTTACTATAGAAAAGATGTTCCTGGATTGAAAAGAAGAGAAAAACGCTTTGCTGGAGTCGTTAGACTACATGTACATATTTTTTCAACTGTGCTACATATACATAATGATTTATATACATATAATGTGGTGAGATATGATTTGGTCAAAATTTCTCCAACCAAATTAAAAAAAAAAAACTTCTCTACTCTCTTTTTGACACCTCATTTGTATGTAAATTATTATGTAACTCTATTAAATACAAGTAACATTATTCATATTTTTTTGTCTTTCTATGTCGTCTTTATGTTTTCATTCTATCATAATTTCTCAGTCTCAATAAATGTGAGGTGGTGCAGGAATTATCCAATTTTTTGCCTTCATCTTGTACATCAAAAAGGAATCCCAGTTTGGTAAGAGGAGCTATATCTGCAGTATATCAAATATCATTTTGATAATATCTAAGAACCCTAACAAAAAGTCTACAAATTCAGTGTTTATTTCCAGAATATTTAGTAAAAGATATCGAGACGCCACTTTTTCTACTCAATTCGCTTTATGATTCATGGCAGGTCAGATTTTTTTTTTTTTTACTTACTCATATAACAAAGATTTTGTTTAGTCAATTCATTATTGCTAACTCTATTACTCTGTTTGAGCTCCATTTTTTTAAATTTTTTTTTGGCAAAAGTGCATTTTTGAAATGTGCATTGATGAGAAATGTGTGGTTGAAAAATAAAGAAAAATTTTGGGTTTGAGTATAATATTATTTTTATTGAATAATGTGTGGTTGGAGGTCAAAACAGTATTCAAAAATGTATTTTTTTTTTTCAAAAAATAGGGCTCAAAAGCTACTATTTGATTCTTATTTTTTCCAAAATACATTTTTTTTAACCACACATTCTTTAATAAAATAATATTATACGCAAATCCAAAATTTTTCCTTATTTTTTAATCAGACATTCTCCATCAATCTATTATTTCAAAACTTTTGAGGTTAGATTTTTACATCTTACACGTGCATTTTTTATTTCCTTCCTTCAAATGCAATCCTGCTATAATCCTATCTGCAAAATATCCAACTTCTTAAGAACTTGACAACGAATTAATGACCTTTTTAATGATTCTTCTATTAATTCTTTTTAATTTGTTCTTGAATAAATTTTTGATTAGATAACGTATAATTTGAAACCACATCATGGAGATAAGCCTGGCTGGAAAAATTGCACAAAATATACAAAACTTTGCAGCCCTGGCCAACTACAAACCATAAGAGGTGAGTGTCATAAGTTATGCACAAAAACAGAATCTCTCCCTTCTTTTCTATTGTAATAAGAAAACCAGCATAATATTCGTTTGCTACTGCTTTCAGATTTTCGAATGGACTTCTTAAAATCACTGCAAAAAGCAGGCAATTCTTCATGTACAGGAATGTTTATCAACTCTTGCTACCTCCATTGTTACACCTACTCAACTGAAAGATGGAATTGCTCTGCCGGCTTTGGAAATAAGGTAATAAATATATTTTTTTATAAACCACCCTGCATTCCTTTATGAATTAGAATGAAAATATTGCATACTTGTAATCTTATTGTATAATACTTTCTAATGTAATCTGTATTATGCAGACCATGGCACAGGCCATTGGCGACTGGTACTTTGATCGCAATTCGTTTAAAGGGATAGACATTACGCATGATGTGCCACAGGAGTGTACTCAATGCTTATAATTCTTTTATCTTGATAACACTTGTGTACTCGATAGTCATAATCCTTTTATCTTAATAAGAAACATTATTTCAAAGTGCGTTCATGCTATGGACAGTTGCATGTTTCAAAATTTAAATGTACAAACATGTATTTCGCCTCTATTTGTTTCCACTACTTTCACCCAAAAAATGAGAATTTTTACCGTTGGAATAGTGCCT